GGAGACGTGGACTTGCACCTGCCAGTGTGTGTGTGTGTGTGTGTGTGTGTGTGTGTGTGTGTGTGTGTGTGTGTGTGTGTGTGTGTGTGTGTGTGTGTGTGTGTGTGTGTGTGTGTGTGTGTGTGTGTGTGTGTGTGTGTGTGTGTGTGTGTGTGTGTGTGTGTGTGTGTGTGTGTGTGTGTGAATTCTGTAGCACCGCTGTTTGTGTGTCGATGTCCGTATCAACACACAAGCACACGTTGGTGAGAATGCTGGAAACCCCCGAGCATTTGAGTCTCTCTTCCTCGTCCTCTAGAACCTCATTGTTCAACACGTGTTTGTGTGTGGTTGCCATAGAAAACAAACATCCCACAGTTTCCAGCGGTTACCTGTAACATAAATACACACAAGTACCAGCTGCATTCAAATAAGCTACTGTCTGATTTGACTGCTAACAGATGTATTCCTTCATTTGATCCCAGGAGCCTGCCATGTCCGGTCCCACCTGGCTACCACCAAGGACTCTGGACAGCCCTGAGCGAGCCGTCCCACCGATGTCCCACGCTGCTGCTGGGGCAGCCATGTACCAAGCCCCCAACAAGAAGGGCACGCCCGACTTCAGACCCAAATATCCGTACGATCAGAACGGAGGAGGGATGAGCAGCAGATACGTGTCGGCCGGATCCACAGGTGAGAAGGCCTGGGGGAGAACATCAGCTCCAGGCTTTAGATAGATTTAGTATCTCTACACACATTATACTAAATATGAGAGATGCTTAAAGGATTCGTTCCCTGGTAAAGCCTGCCGACCTCTGGGGGTCATTTCTCCAGTAAAATTATTCCAGAGGAACGTTTTCCTTTCTCAAAGATAAAGTTAACCCTGAACAGGAAGTCCCACTGAACTAATGTTCTGTTAAAGTTTGTAACCTGTAGAATGTCGGGCTGAAACGATTCCTCGAGCACCTCGAATAATTCGAGTACAAAAAAGCCTCGAGTCAAGTTCTCTGCCTCGAGGCTTCGTTTAATTCATGTTTAATTAGTTCATGGCTTTGCAATTGCCCAGGGTCATGTTTCACCCGGACCGAAATAAGTGACGCACATACACGCTGCACTGAATGCACACGCGAGTAGCGGATGTAACTTAACTTTCTCTTAAGCCGTGGCGGACAACGTGGAACCCGGTGGAGTGCGAAAAAGAAAATGTCAAAGGTGTGGGAGCAAGGCGGAAAACGTAGTCCAGTAAAATGGATGTAGCCTACCACACCACCGCATCCTCCATGCTGCAGCACCGGACCAGGAAACGTCCGCATGTAAACGTCACTTCTGCAAGCGGACTCGGAGCCTCTACAAGATCATGCATTTTAGCCTGTATTTCTATATATTCTGCAGACACTGTGTGACTTTTTCATTTGTAGCACTTTCGCCCTGTCCACACGTAGTCGGGGATCTGCCAAAACGTAGATATTTTTCTACGTTTTGGCCTGTCATCCACACAAAAACTGAGTTTTTTCACACGAAAACGGATCTTTTTAAAAACTCCGGCCAAAGTGAAGATCTGCGTTTTCTCCGTTTTGGGTGTCTGCGTGTGGACGGACAAAACCGGAGTTTTAAGGTCCGCAACGTCACTTTCCGCGACAAACAAATGCTGACATCACGTGTGCGACCTGTGTTTACACTAGCCGACAGCATGGATGCCCTCAGAGCTGCGCTCGCTTTATCGATTGTCCAAGCGCTTTTTGCTTGTTTGTTTTTGCGAGCGGAATTACTGCTCCTTGTGGAAGACCACAGACGAAGGACGAGGTTAAGAACGGGGGAAGTACTGCCGCCTACAGGTCTGGCATGTCCTTAACAACGTATTTATCCGGGTACGTGTGGACAGTTTTTTTTTAAACGAGGTGGTGTGGATGCATGTTTTTGGAGGGGCGGATATTCGTTTTCAGAAACACCCGGCTACGTGTGGACTAGGCCTGAGTTTCTGCTCACACCGTTCGTCTGGTAGCAACACGTCAGACTTAAAATGTGCTAAAAAAATAGCAGTTTTTACAACACGTCTGACTTTTTATTGTGTTGTTATTGATGTCTGTTGTCCCTCGGGATTGCTGCAGGAGGACACGGGTATTTATGAGCAGCGGAGGAAAACAAAATAAAGTAAATAAATGTTCTGTGATCGGTATAATTTGACATAACCACGGAAAACATGCTTTCAACAGTCCTTGTTAGTGTGACGGAAAAAAAGTGTAGAAATTAAAATGGACGTGTGTTAATAGGGAAACAGCAAGCCATGTTTGCACATGCGCCGTGACCCGTGAGCGGTTCTGGTGCTGTTTGGGCCGCAGCCGCTCGCATTTGTTGAAGTGCTGAAAACTAATTTTGAATAAAACTTGAAGAACAACTGTCAATTGCTTTCTCATTTCAAGAGGTCTTTCATATTTAATAACATGCTATTTGATAAAATGGTTTACAAACACAAAAGGGTCATTTATTACTAGAGTACTCGATAATCGATAAAAGATTCGATAGAGTACTCGATTACAAAAATATTCGATAGCTGCCCTACTGGTAGAATATTCTCTACTTTCTGCCGTTAGAACTCGTTTTACTCTCAAACGTCCCCCTGGCTGCTCCACGTTGCTGCTCTGTGAGCTACGGATGAAAGAGGACAGCATTAACAGACTGTAACTGAATAAAGAACCAGCTCTGAGCTGTTATCTCACAATAACGTCACCAACAACGCCCCAGACTTGGGCACGCGTTTACAATTTTAATCGTTCTCTTTTACTACTTTTTCTTATTCTAGTGTTGCAGAAAACCTACTGCCAATCAGGATGTTCCTCTTTTTTTCTTTGATAATTATGAATGAAAATGTTTCATTATTTATTCTCTGGACAACAGGTGGTCCGGTTCATCGCTCTCCAGGTGATCACTACTACCCTCCTCCTCCTCCTCACGGCCCCACGGAGGACCGAACCTGGAGCCCTCACGTGGACGGCTACCATCTGATGGTGGGTGGACCTCCTTTAGTTTTCGCCTCTGATTTATCTTAAATCCTTTAAACTGAATCTTCGGACTCTAAACTGTCAGCACAAGAAGCGCAGACGCTCCTGCAGCACAAACTGCTTATTTATTAGTTTTCCTGAATCTGTCATGGAAACCAGACGTAAACAAAAACGGCCTTAATCGGGTCGTGGCATTCAGCAATTCTTCAGTTGCACGCTGTTACTTTAGGAGCAAATTGCACATTGTTTATCTAAAATGTGATTTTATCTAGTGAACTGCAGTCATGAGGGAGAAACGGTGTAGTTGGGTTTATATTATTTATGTATTATGTCTGATGTTTGTGGATCTGAATGCCCAGAATGCCTTTGTTTGCAGCGTCTCTGGTGTCTGTTGAACTGTGTGCTGGGGTCGTGCAGGAACAAGCTGATGTTTAACACTTTCAGCAGGACTTCACACCTTAAGTGTCACGAAGGTCGCCTTTGCTTAAAAAAAAATCAGAAAAAGTGAAAAATGTGCTCCAGAAATCCAGATGCTCATCATTCGACTTGTGAGGGTTACCGAGACGACAGAATGACTTCGAAAAGTCATGTGATCACTTATTTCTCCTCCTGGAGCCTTTTTATGGAAAACGCTTTGTTTGAAGTTTAGTTTTAAAATCCAACAGCAGCTTCTGAAAACACAGCCGTGGGGGTGGGGAGGTTGTTCTGCTTCTGGTCGGGTCTGATCCCGGATGCTGGTGCTGCTGTTTTGTTAGCACCGTGGTCCCGAGAAGCCGGTCAGCTACCACTCCAAGATTGACGCTGACATCGACTCCCTCACCAGCATGCTGGCTGATCTGGACAGCCACCCGCAGGACTCCAGCTCCCAGGTGAGAACAGAACCAGTTTAAATTCTGAACCCCTCCGTGATCACGCTGGGAGTGTAATGTTTTTGCCTCCTGCAGCTCTACGACAACGTGCCTTACAACAAATACATCTCAGGAGATCATTACAAACCTGCACACCAGAGCTCAGCGCCTCCTCAGGTTCGGACGGCCATCGGCTACAACTCTCAGTACCACCCGGCTCCCCCCTACCCCGGAGAGCACCAGACCCCCCAGTACTCCCACCAGCAGGACTACTACTCCTCCTCTAGCCCTAAGCCCTACCCCCAGCCTGTGCCGGCCTCCTACACCACAGCCTCCACCCCCACCGGGCCTCGCTTCAGCGTTCAGGTAAAGACGGCGCAGCCCGTCACCTACTCTCAGAGCGGCAGGCAGGCGGAGCAGGCCTACACCCCTCCCCCTCCTCGCCAACATGTGTCAAGACCCCCAGCACAGACTCAGAGCTGTCCACAGGGCTGGTACCCCCCTCATCCTGTCTCACAGGGTCAGGAGATGCTCCCAGAGGGGGGGTACAAAGGCAGCAGCATAGGAGCAGGGGTAAGAGTCAACCAGGTCCCTCTGCAGAAAAGAGGGATGGAGAAGACTCAGACTGGGTCTGTGCAGACGTCCTATCAGTCCAACAAGGTAGACACACATCTGCATCCCCACATCTGCTCGTGGGCCTCAGAAATAAGTGTTCCTTCTACCCTCCAGCAGGGGGCAGCAACGACAAGGCCTGAGGAGGAGCTGGAGCGGCTAACCAAGAAGCTGGTGTATGACATGAACCACCCCCCTGCTGAGGACTATTTTGGTAGGGACAGGACATGGATGTGAGCAGAGTGGCTCTGTAAGGCCGGAAACCATTCGTTGTGTTTTGCTGTTCAGGTCGCTGCGCTCGCTGTGGCGACAACGTCGTCGGAGACGGCAGCGGCTGCATCGCCATGGAGCAGGTGTTCCACGTGGAGTGTTTCACCTGCATCACCTGCCATGCTCGTCTGCGAGGGCAACCCTTCTACGCTCTGGAGAAGAAGAGTTACTGTGAGAGCTGTTATATCGTAAGTGGAGGAACTGAAAAACAGCAGGTCTGAATCTTACACGTCCATGTTCCAGTAACAGCGGTGTCATGTTTGTCTCCAGAGCACGTTAGAGCGTTGCTCCAAGTGCTCAAAGCCCATCCTGGATCGGATCCTGCGGGCCATGGGGAAAGCCTACCACCCCCGCTGTTTCTCCTGTGTGGTCTGCAACTGCTGCCTGGACGGCGTGCCGTTCACTGTAGACGCCACGTCTCAGATACACTGCATCGATGACTTCCATCGGTACACAAGCACCAATACGCACACATTCAGCCAAAACATTACCTTTAGTCCAACACCAATAAAGTTTACTGCTTCTCCCACCTACTGGTTTAATCCGGAAATACAACTGTGGTAAAAAAAAAAAGAAAAAAAGCCGCCTGCTGTAGCTAGCACTAACTATGAGGTAATGCTAACCTGAGCTAACTGATACTAGATAAGCCATTATGTAATCAAATCTGCACTGTTGGACAAAAATAATACAAGGCCAGCTGCAACAAAGCCAGGTCACCATCAGTCTGTGATGTTGTGTCCTTTTGCTCCCTCACACTAGTATAGGCCGCACCAATGTCCACTTTGGTTTTAGCTCTTTGCTTCATCTCCAGAAACCACTCTTGCTTTTATGCCCAGGCTCTGCCATGATGCCATCAAATGAGCTACATTCTTTTTCATCTTTTTATTGATGATCAGCAAGCTGAAAAAGTTAACTGTTAGCAATGGTAGCTACTGTTAGAGTGACCAGCTAACAGCCATAAAGCAGGTAGAGAGCTCACACTAGTGCACCTAGCCAAACCCCAAAACTGTTCTAATGGGTTTCGGTGATTCTGGAACCAGAAACTTGAGTGAAGTCCGGTAATGTCTGCAACAGGGTTGTTTATGAAAGGTATAATCTTACTTTCACCTAGCAGAGGGAGAAACCGGAATCTTAATTGTTTCTTTAACTTTCATTGGTGTTGAGCGTTGACGCTTTCCCTCGACAGGAAGTACGCCCCTCGCTGTTCGGTGTGCGGCGAGGCCATCATGCCCGAACCAGGTCAGGAGGAGACGGTCAGGATTGTCGCGCTGGACCGCAGCTTCCACGTCAACTGTTACGTTTGTGAGGTGAGTCGCACTCGTGTCTAAAACAGCAGCTGTTCACGCGGAGCCCAGGTGACCGCTAACCTACGTGTCCATCAGGAATGTGGCCTCCTGCTGTCGTCTGAAGGCGAAGGTCGAGGATGTTACCCACTGGATGGTCACATCCTGTGTAAGAGCTGCAGCGCCCGCCGCATCCAGGACCTCTCCGCCAAAATCTCCACCGACTGCTGACGGAAACAACCTGAATATAAACGACCAACGTCTCTGCGGCCGTCTCCTTTTACCTTCTGAACCTTTGGAACATGATCAATAATGTTTATGATGTCAGTATTAGTACGACGGTGGCCTGGCCTGCAGGCAGCTCGGGCTCCACGCTGCACACTCCGGTACCAATCATGTCCCACCTCTAGAGCTCAGCAGATGCAGAATGAAAGCTGTATTTTTATAAAACACTATCAAAGGTACAAGAGAATACTGTGACTGTACAGAAGACACTGGTTTGCTTTGAAGATTAAAGCGTTTAGTAAAACCTCAGAGAGGAATGTAGACGGGAAGATTGTGTTTCCCTCTTCAGCTCTGATTAACGTTAATCTCATCTAGATTATTAACTCACCAGATGTTTCTGTTGACAAGCAACTACTAAAGACAAACAGGGTGTGCTTGTGCCATAAAAAACAAGTATTTCTACAGTCTTTAAAGAGGTCAAAGGTCATTTACTAGGAGCTAGTTTCTACTCGTGTGGGCTGAGTTTTCTTGTGAGGTTTAGAAGAGACGGTATTTGTTTTTCTTGATTTTCCCGTCCGTTACAGATCTAAACGTCTCCGAGTGTCGTTTGGCTTCAAATGGCTCCACTGTGAACTCTGATCACACACATTTCTATTTCTCATAATTTATCTTGATTCTTTGACTTAATTCTACCTTTTTGTTTCAGTTTAAAATCCCGACTCGTTTCCTGTGTGCTTGATCAGTTTCTCTTTCACCTTTAAACTGGAGCTCCTGCCAACGCTGCACAGACCAACACCACCCTGAGGTCTTTCTGCGCTGAATAAAAGTGTCATTACAGCACAAACGTGTTATTATAATGGGTGTTTAACGTGTGCACGAGATGATTAAAACGTCAAAGCTACCTTTTCTTTTCCAGAGTCGTGGCTTGATGGGAAATAACAGAACAAGATGAGTCTGCCATTTTTATTTGAACTAAATCAATATACAGATTACGGCTTGGAAAAGAGTTTACATCTGGATTAACATCTGCATGGCTGCTGCTTTGTAATGAATTACCAACGAGCTGATGTATCCTCTAAAGAGATGGATGCAGCTTCACCGGTCCTAACAGGAGGTGAAGGTTTTCCAAAAGAAGTTGCGGCAGCCCGCCTTTCGCTCCCTGTGGCTGAAGCGAATCTGCCTCCTCAGCAGCCTCTCCTGTCCTAGCTCCTCGTCCTCCAGCTGGCGGAGCATCACCGTTCCTCCAGATGCCGTCAGCTGAGACACAAGCCTCAGTAGGAGCAGATGGGTCGGAACCTGAAGGAGAACAGGGAGGTCCTCAGACTGAAAGCAGATCAGGTCATCTGTTTCTTTTCTACTTGGCTCACCTCACTGAGATCTTCTTGTAGTAGTTCTGTCAGCTGCTCTCCTTGTGGAGCACCATCAGCCTTCACCAACAGCTCAGAGGAGCATAAAACCACCAGAAGAACCTGAAAACGGAGCATCTCCACCCAAAAAACTGAAGATCTTTTGATTTTATTTACAAAATATTTTTGATAAAATTTAGAAAAAACCCAGCTATTCGGTCAGTCGTGGAACCACTCAAAGTGCGACCTCGCCAACTGATAAAAGGCTCTTCATCCTTGAACAAACCAAAGGATGTGATTGGCTGAGGTGGAAGAAGGTGGTGTGATGTCATCACTACCTGTCACAACACTAACAAACCAAAACACATCCACGAAAAGTCACAAATACCAACGTTGGCATGATTTATCTTTTACTTTATAGAAAATGAAAACTTAATTAAAATTACACTTCTGAAGGCTGACCCTGGGTCAGTTCTAATTAGCCAACCCAGGTTTAGCAGAGGAACATCACTACACAAGGACTTCCTGCTGTGCAGGGACGTTGATGACTCGATGTGACTCAAATGTTAATGAAGCTGCTGACCGGGCCAACAGTGGGAGGAGACCAAACACCTAAATGTCAGAGAATAAACACTAGCTACGTTTAAAATAACAATCAAGATAACTAGGACCCCTCACTGAGAAGTGGTAAATGCCATGTTTACTTTTGTTCGGGGGAGTCAAATGAGAAGTTAGATAAAGAAAAGCGACGACTTGGAAAAAGTTTTCTGTTCGTCTTCAATCATCAAACATGAAGTCATAGAGGTTTTAACATGAAATAACGTGTCACTAGCGACACTCTTCCCCAAACATGGCGCAAACAGAGCCGGAGTGCTGTTCTTGTAATTCTCGCTCTGACCACTAGATGTCAACGCTGGACCACGTTCTCACTTCACTAAAGTTTATAAACTAGTTTCTTTTATCCCTCATTTATCTTTTTAAGTTCAAATAACATTTACTATTATGTATAACGAAAGTGTTAAAGTAAACAGCCTAAAAAGCATAAAATAGCACCCAGAGCTCCTGCCACTTTGCTTGATCAAGCTAATTAGCTTTATCAGGCTAGTGGAGTGCAAACATGGTGGACCCTAGACGACACGAGCCAGCCATGAGGAGCATTTCTGTCCATCTCTGTGGGTGAGTGTCAATGTCACAGTTTAGTAGCAGCTGGCTGCTGCTGGTGCTAATAAACTGGTTTTGTTTCAGTGTGTTGCTGCTTTTGGACTTACCTCTCAGTGTTCCCAGTCCACCGCCAATAGGTGAGACCAGTCAAGCATAATGTGTGTTCTAGTGGTCCAAAATGCCCGAATGTGGAGAGGTGTCTTCAGTCTATTTATTTATTCATTAAATAAATTTTATTTTAAAATATTTGAGGTAATTTAAATTAAAAAGGAATTTTGGTGCCACAGAAATGTTGGAATAATTAGAATTTTTTTATAAATAAATAAAAATAACTACAAACCACAAAAGAATAATGAAAAACAATAGTTGCTAAATTTTTGTACATAGCTGCTTGACTGCTTTGGGCAAAAATAAGAAAAGTTCAAGCATAATAATGATGGAAGATTGAGAAATTACTAACAAAAAGAAACAAAAGAAAACATCCAGGGGTCAAAATAATCACTTGTGAAAAGATTGAAAACATTTGAAATGTAAAAATAAAAATGTAACTTCGTCAAATGAACAAATACATGTTTCAAAAATTTACCAACAACTTGCTCTGTTATAAATGAACAGTACATTTAGAATTAATTTATTTTAATTCTGTATGTTTTTATATAAATCCTTTTTTTGTTCACATTTAGTTTTATGTGGCATCTTTCAAAGTATTTAAGTAATTTTAGTTAGAAATATTCTGTAATTTTTGAGACCATCCACTTTTCTGTGACAGAATCACATTTCAGAAAAAAAGTATAATATACTTTCTGTTTTAGTGTGTATTTTAGGGCCTTTTACATTTCTACTTTTACTTTTAACTGTTTCATGAAAACTGGTGTCACTTATTATTTTAAGGATCATTTCAGACCAAATGTCTCGACCGCCACTTCTGGCTTTCCATGAAGTCCAGCCACCTTGGCCAGATGGTCCAGTTTAATTTTGAAGGTACTTCAAGTTCCTGTGATTATGAATGAACAAAAAGCTCTTCAGAATGAGATGTAATAGTAATTTGCCTCCAGACCAGTATGGAGTCCACTCCCTGTCCCCACTGGAGGCCGCGCTCTGTGGCTACACTGTCCTGATCACCGATGCAGGAGACCTGGTGTTCCGAGCCTCCTTCCTGGCCTGTCATGTGAACAGTCAGGCATGTGCAGCAAACCGTGCAGCTTTCACTGTAGAATTAGTCCTCATGCACATTTCCTTGTTTCTCCTTTTCAGATGGGTTCAGACTATTACCTGCGTCTCTGGGTTGTGCACGTAAAGGAGGATGCAAAGGTGATGGGGTTCCCCCTACAGCTCCACTGTCCTCTGCAGGAGGCGTGGAGCTCCAGGGAGATCGTCTGCGAGGAGAATTACATGGAGGTGTGACCTCCATGTTTCTGAGTCATGCTAGCGCTCTGCGCTGGAAGCCCATCCATTCATGTTTTTATTGTTATAGGTGTCCATCCAACTGTCCATCCTCCCTCTTTCACCCCAAAATAAGAAGAATGTAAGTAGATGAGACATTTCTATAAGATTATATAGGACTCTCTTTGAAAACACAGATGGATAGTGTCTTAAATCAGGACCCTGTCCTAAACAGGAAGTTAAATCTGCAGACATGGCCATCATGTTCCATAACGCCAACCGGACGGCAAAGGAAGCTGTGGTTTTGTCCCTCAGAGAAGCTGCTGCTCTGAGCTACTACATCTCTCTGCAGACGTCCCGGTTCTCGCTCCGCTGTCCCTACTCGTCTCTGCTGTCAGTCTTTGTCAAGGTGCTGTAGGACCTTCCGGAGATCTGCTTCCCAGCAGCAGCTGTTCTCTCATGTTTACATGCTGTTACAGGAGAATGGAGTAGACATGGAGATTGTAAGAGCTTCCACCTTGTTCAGACTCGAAGACAAGGTGCTGGCTGTGGACACCTCTGTTGCCTGTGTTCTCAGTAAGCATGTTGTCAGGGTAAACATGTTCATGTCCATTGGTCTGTGTTCTGTAAGCTCTCTGTTCTCCATCAGATGAAGCCACAGCTGATGGTTCTGACCTGCTCTGGACAGTCCCTTATTTCATCCCTCCCTTAGTTCACGGGGAGTCTAGGGACAGAGGCGTGAGCGTCAGAGTGAACAATCAGGCTCTGAGAGACGAGAGCGGTTACAGGATCAGCTTGCAGGAGGGGCGAGCAGAGCTCAGGGTTTCTGCAGGAGCTCTGGGTGGACACGTCCAGGTAAAGACACAACAGGGGGACATGCTCTGTTCTAGCTTGGTATTCACATTGGCTTCCTAATGTTTTAGTAGATTTAAACCTTAATGTGTTTAAATTATTTCAGAGCAGTGTTGTGAGGGGACAGTACAGTCAGTCCATGTCAGTGGATTTGTTCTTCATGACGCAGTGGGAGGAACAACGGTGGCCTCTCACCCAGCATCGCTCCTTCAGGCTCCTAAAGACCGCTGTCGTCCCACAAAATCTCATCCTGATCAACAGTGAGGCATTTTGGGTCCATGTTTATATCAGTCTTTATTATATTTATATTTTAGTGATTATCAATTTTTTTTACTTGGAGAAAAAAATTGTAGATTTCTACTTGGCACTTTTCCTTTACCAAGATAATCCATCCCACCTCACAGGTGTGGCAGATCAAGGGGCTGATTGGACAGCATGAATAATGTACAGACTGCCCACAATAAAAGGCCACCCTGAAATGTGCACAGTTTTGCTTTATGGGGGGTGGTGGGGCAGAAAACCAGTAGTCAATATCTGGTGTGGCCACCTCACGCAGGCCAACACATCTCCATCACATAGAGTTGATCAGGTTGTTGATTGTGGCCTGTGGAACATTGGTCCACTCCTCTTCAAGAGCTGTGTGAAGTTGCTGAATATTGGCTGGAACTGGAACACGCTGTCGTATACGCCGATCCAGATCATCCCAAACATGCTCAATGGGTGGCATATCTGGTGAGTATGCTGGCCGTGCAAGAACTGGGATGTTTTCAGCTTTCAGGAATTGTTTACAGATCCTTGCAACATGGGGCTGTGCGTTATCATGCTGCAACATGAAATGATGGTCGTGGATGAATGGCACAACAATCGGCCTCAGGATCTCATCATGGTACCTCTGTGCATTCAAAATGCCATCAATAAAATGCACCTGTTTGTTGTCCATAATATACACCTGCCCATACCAGTACCCCACCACCACCAAGGGCCACTCGTTCCACAACGCTGACATCAGCAAACCGCTCCTCCACATAACGCCACACACAGTCTGCAATCTGCCTTAAAAAGTGAAAACCAGGACTCATCTGTGAACAGAATTCCACTCCAACATGCTAAATGCCATCAAATGTGAGTGTTTGCCCACTCACGTTACGACAACGGACTGCGGTCAGGTTCAGACTCCGATGAGGACAACAAGCATGCAGATGAGCTTCCCTCGGACGTTTCTGAGTTTGTGCAGAAATTCTCTGGCTATGCAAACCGATTGTTGCTGCAGCTGTCCTGGTGGCTGGTCTCAGGCAATCCTGGAGATGAACATGCTGGATGTGAAGGTCCTGGGCTGGTGTGGTCACGTGATACGTGGTTGTGAGGCTGGTTGGATGTACTGCCAAATTCTCTGAAACGCCTTTGAAGACGGCTTATGGTAGAGGAATGAACATGCCAATTGCACACTCCCTCAAAGGTTGTGACACCTGTGGCATTATGCAGTTTGATCAAACTTCACATGTCAGGGTGGCCTTTTATTGTGGGCAGTCTAAGGCACACCTGTACATTATTCATGCTGTCTAATCAGCCCCTTGATCTGCCACACCTGTGAGGTGGGATGGATTATCTTCGTAAAGGAAAAGTCCTCATGTAGACAGATGTCACAACAATATTTGAGAGTCGTGGGTCTTTTGTGTATGTACCTACATTTTCAGATGTTTGAGTTCAGCTCATGAAAAATGGGAGCAAAAACAAAAGTGCTGCATTTCTATTTTTGTTCAGTGTAAATCAGAATACAGGGAAGATGCTTTGACATATATCACAATACGGAGGAGACTATACAAAATGTATCGGAATACAGGGGAGGCAATCTGATATATTGCGATATTACAACCCAGATGATATTTCCAATTTTTCGAACAGAATTTAATTGAAAACTGAGGCCAGATGCCTCCAAGACACATCCAGTGTTACCTCAAGATTCTGTTCCTGTCTGAATGAAGATAGTAATTTCTCAATAAATATAAATAAACTGCTTATAAATATTGTTTTAGCATCTTAACACAAAATATTGCAATATTTCAGTTTATTGATATTTTCTTACATCATTAATAGTTGCCGATTGTCTTTTACAGAAACAAAAGAAACATACGTACGCAGTTCTGTTGTACATATGGTTTTAAAATGTTATCAAAACAGAAGATTTTTGAGGGTTTTATTGCACATGATACTTGATATCTTCAGATAAGTTCGCTGGTTAATAAGATGGAGGAGATTGCGACGCTAACAAGGACAGAGAAAGTTTCCCGAGAATGCAGTTACACGGAGACATGGCTGCACAAAAAATATCCCGGACCAGGTGGTGGATATAAACGGATTTACGTGTGTGAGAGCGGACAGGGACTCGGGCAGTTGTGAGAAGAAGAGGGGAGGAGGACTCGTTCTTTATGTTAACAACCGCTGGTGTTCCCCCAGTCACGTTAAGGTGAGGATGGCTGTGTGTAACAAACACATAGAACTGTTGGCGGTCGGTCTCCGACCATATTATCTACCGCGTGAGTTTTCCCTCGCCATTATCATCATTGTTTACATCGCTCCTGATGCCAACGCGGCGCAGGCGTGTGACGTCATCAGCTCTGCGACAGCGGACATACTAAATCGTAGTCCCTCTGCGTTTGTGGCTATAACGGGTGATTTTAACCACACAAACCTCTCCACTGTTCTACCTACATTCAAGCAGCATGTGGACTGCAAAACAAGAAACAATAAAACACTGGACCTGTTTTATGCCAATGCTGCTGAGGCACACACCTCCAGCCCTCTCCCTCCCCTGGGCAGGGCTGATCACAACCTGGTATCCCTCCAGCCCCTTTACAGACCTGCCGTCCAGAGACAACCTGCAGCCACAAAAACGGTCACAACATGGACAAGGGAGTTGGAAGAGACTCTGCAGGGATGCTTTGAGTCAACGGACTGGGATGTTCTTTGTGATTCCAATCAGGACAATATTGACAATCTGACAGGCTGTGTTACAGACTATATCAACTTCTGTGTTGACACGGTAGTCCCCCAAAAAACCATACTGTGCTTCCCCAACAATAAGCCCTGGGTTTCCAAAGACATAAAAGCAACCCTGAACAAGAAAAAAAGAGCTTTCAGAAATGGTGACAGAGATCAGCTGAAACTGGTGCAGAGGGAGCTGAAAGCCAAGATTGCTCCTCCCCCTCCCCCTTGTCCGGAACTTTACCTCACCAGTCTGAAGCAGCCACCCTGTCCGTAACAAGTCCGGACCTGTTACTAGGGGCTTCGTCCGGGTAAATTCCGGAACACGTTATCCGGATGTTTGTATTCAGACAGAAAGGTCTTACGGACAGATTCCGGAACATTTCCGTTTTTCATGGCCTGTCTGAAGGGGGCTCTACAGACGGAAGCTGGAAAACAAGCTGCAGGAAAACAACACCAGGGAGGTGTGGAATGGAATGCGGGCTATCACTGGCCTGAGACAAAAGAGAGGTGTTGGGATGGAGGGGGATGTCGAAAGTGCTAACAACCTAAATCTACACTTCAATAGGTTCGACTGTCCTGCGTCTCCTGTCTCCACAGCCAGCTCTTCCCATCTTCTCCTTCCATCCCCCCCCCCCCCCCCCCCCTCTCCTGCCTCCTCTGACTGTCTCACCCTGTCCCTCTCAGCAGATGACATCAAAAAAGAATTGGGCAGACTCCACCCCGGCAAAGCTGCTGGTCCTGCTGGTGTCAGTCCAAGGGCCCTTAGGTGTTGTGCTTCCCAGCTGTCTGAGTTTTACAACGGATCTTCAACATGAGCCTGGAGATGCAGAGAGTTCCATCACTCTGGAAGACATCCTGCCTGGTTCCTGTCCCTAAAAAGATCAACCCGTCAACCCCCAGTGACTACAGGCCAGTGGCTCTGACCTCACATGTCATGAAGACACTGGAGAGACTCATCCTAAAACATCTGCGGCTGCTGGTGGAGCCTTGGCTGGATCCCCTGCAGTTTGCTTATCAACCTCGTATCTGTGTGGAGGATGCCCCCTCATCTACCTGCTGGACCGGCCATATTCTCATCTGGACATTGCTGGGAGCACTGTGAGGGTCATGTTTTTCGACTTCTCTAGTGCCTTTAACACAATCAGACCATCACTGCTGGGGAACAAGCTCACGGAAATGCAGGTGGACGCCCCACTTGTAGGTTGGATTACGGACTATTTAACAAGTAGACCACAGCATGTCCGACTGATGAGCTGCCGCTCAGATAACATCCTGAGCAGCACGGGGGCGCCGCAGGGGACAGTTCTATCACCCTTCCTCTTCACCCTTTACACATCTGACTTCATGTACAAGTCTCAGTCTTGCCATCTGCAGAAATTCTCTGATGACTCTGCCATCGTGGGCTGTATCAGGGATGGTCAGGAGGTGGAGTACAGGAGTGTGGTGGACAGCTTTGTTGAGTGGTGTGAGCGAAACCACCTACAACTTAACATCACAAAGACTAAGGAACTGATTATGGACTTTAGGAAGCAGGCCCCACCTCCTACTCCTGTCACCATAAGAGGGGCTGACGTTGAGATCGTTGAGGACTACCGGTACCTGGGGGTTCACTTGGACTGTAAACTGGACTGGACTAAGAACACCAATGCTATCTTCAAAAAAGGGCAGAGTCGGCTTTTTCTTCTGAGGCGGCTCAGGTCCTTCAATGTTGGGAGGAAATTAGCGACAATGTTCTATCACTCGGTGTTGGAGAGCGTTGTGTTCTTTGCAGCTGTGTGCTGGGGCAGTGGGGTGAAGATAGCTGATGCCAACTGGCTGAACAAGCTGATTAGAAGGGCTGGGTCTGTCCTGGGTGTTAGACTGGAGAACCTGGAGGAGGTGTCTGAGAGGAGAATGCTAAAAAAGCTTCCCTCTATCATGGAAAACCCCTCCCACCCCATGCACGCCCACATGATGGACCATCGAAGCACACGCAGCAAAAGACTCATTGCCCCGAAATGCAGAACTGACCGCCACAGGAAATCCTTTGTACCGGTGGCAATAGGACTGTTTAACTCTTCCTCACCCTGTAGGTGATTCTCCTAATACTGTTACCTAGGTTACTCTGTTCCCTCACGGACTGTGCAATATTACCAGAGTTCTGATTGTAAATATGTTTTTATCCCCCCATCATATCATATGCTGCTACAAACCCATATTCTATTACACAATACTTTAATCACTTTTGTGAATCGCCTGCACCGACGGCTTAATTACTTATTCACAAGGATGCAGTCATGTATTTAATTATTGAGATATGCGATTGTTTGTTTTGCACTATCCTACATGGTACTACTGTAGATCATTTTTTTAATGTATATATTGTATATCATATTTCTATTTCACCTGTTCCTTTGTCTCTCCGACTGCTTTGAGCATGTACATGACACAAGAATTTCCCTCAGGATAAATAAAGTTGTTCTTATCTTCTTATCTTATATTGTTAAAGTTTACAGTGAGGATATCAGTTGAATAAATCAACATTTCCCGTCCTGTCCTCAGAGCTGCAGCCATAGCATCTTAGCAACTATCATTACCATAGGGAGCCTAACCCCTTCTTTCCACCGGAGCCGTCAGCAGCACGTTACTGCAGCAGCACGTCATAGCTGCTGATAGGAACCGCTGTGGTCAACGGAACCTTTTCCACTGGAGCCGTCAGCAGCGCGAGTCGGCCGCGTCTCAGGAGCAGCATGTCGCGGCCCTTACGCGCCGGTTCTATTTTCTACGCGTGACGTCTCTGAAACGGGTCAAGTTCTACATTTTGGGGAAGGAAAGACAGGAAATTGGATGCAGAAACGGAGCAAAGCTCCCGAGATTTTCAGAATAAAGAAACGTACTGCCTTCCAGTTGCTTTACTTAAAAAAAAAGTTACTAACTGCGGCCCCGTGAGAAGTTATCACCTAGCTAGCGGTCTCCTTTGTTTTTCAGGTCCGTATTGGCGATTATAAAACGGACAGAACATAAAACACAAACGTTTTGGAGCCATGTTGTAGTTTTCTCCTGCTTGTTGTTGTGTTTACTGACGAAGTCACTCATGTGACTTCGTGCTCTGTCGGTGACAGCTGCTCCCCTGCTGCTTCGCGTCTCGTTGGAAGGGCCAAGCAGCAGCTTACGCGAGCAAGACGTGCTGCTGACGGCTCCAGTGGAAAGAAGGGGTTAGTCTCCTCCCTTTCTTGTCAGCTCATGGGTCCCCAGAAGAACCAAAAAATGAATGCAAGTCAGCGGGGATAAAAGAGTTATTTTCTAATCCGCTTTGCCTCACGCCCTGGATCAAACGTGTTGTACTGCAATTTACATGAAAAGTAATGGTGTGTGTTTCCACCACGCCAGTCACGTACTTAGAGATTTATCAGCTTGTTAAAATTTGTAATTGCTACACATGATTACAAATCAGATGTCGTATGTTGCATATATGACGTCACCACAGAATCTCCTCTCCCCTAGCGTAGCTGCTGCTCACCACATGGCCAGATTTATGGTTGTTCTTTCCTCCTGAAGGAAGGATTTCTCTTTTCAGTTACGTCACTTTGGTGATGTACATTTGTAGTCCTGGACTTCTTTTCATACAAAACCTAAAATAACTTTTGCCCATGTTCAAAAATAAGCGCTTTCTTGTCTTTAAAACTCACAGACATCATACGTGAAATTCATGGCACATAACAAACGGGATTAGAAAATAGCTTTCATAGCCTCGTTGACTTACATTCATTTTTGTCCTTCTCAGGTCCGAAAGTAGCTGGGCGTGACTTAGGCTCCTTATTTCATGCATGGGAATCAAGGAATTAAGGTTTAACTGGTCAAATATATTTTTAGCAAGAGGAACATAAGTTGCACCTGCAAAATAAGGGATTGCAATATTTTTTGCACCCTTTAGTCCATCCAACAATTTTCTTGCACTTTTCCAAGATTGCTCCTCATCTTATCTCCAAGGCTGAACTCAGCCTGCCTACGAAGGAAGCCCCTCAAAAGGTTCTGTTTTGTTTCAGACACTCCCTTTTTGGATTCCAACTTGTCCAAAGATCAGTTTTCAGTCTCTTTGGGCTTCTTCGCCTCTGATGTTCTCCTCCAGAAGGTGACGGTTGATGGCGGTGGTGACCTTTTAAAGTGGACCCAAAACCAAAGCCAGACAGACCTTGGGGTGTCCAGGTTTCTTCTCTCCAATGGGAGTTTCTTCTACCAGCTCAATATTTTGTTGTCGCACCCTAAAGTAATCCCAGAGGTGAGACTGAGCTGATTTATGAAGCTTTGTGTGATCGGTGGATCTGAAACAAGCTGCTCTCTCATCACCAGCACATAGGTGAAGGGTTCAAGACCTACAGCTTCACTTTCATCTTTACCCTGTCTGTCACGCCCAGTGGAGAGGTGTTTTACCACCATGCTGCTCTGAAGCATCAAGTCAAATATTCAGGTGAGAGAGTTTAGTCTTTGAGGTGACAATCAATGGTTCACATTTGTACTTGGATGTCCGAAACTACCTGAAACTAATATCAGTGAGGTGATGTGGCTGAACTCTACATCTTTAACGCAGAGGTTAGACATAATTCTCCATCTCCAACTGTGAAAATGACCCTCAGTGGGCTTGTTTTGTTGTCCTGGGGCAGAACTGGGATCCCCCAGGCTGGAGGGGAAGTGTACCGAGAGCAGCCTGTTGGTGCTGCTGCACCACGGGGCCCATTCGGATCTGCAGTGGGACCTCTTCCTCGGAGGCCATAGGCTGGACTGGGATCTGTTGATGATGGGTGGATTCAAGATGGAGGTGGAGGAAGACTACTTGACTGTGATGATTCCTTTCTCCAGCCCTGTGATGATCTACGAGGTGCTTGTTTTTGGTTCAGTGTCGTTTTCACCCTCTTGTGCTGTTGACCATGTGTGTTTTGTTTTCCTGAAACAGAAGCTGTCATTGGGAGGTCTGGTTGGTGGAGTTAACGTGTCGGTCGTGGAAGCCGATTCCATGATAGAACATGACCGTCTTGTCCATAAATGCACCTTCCCTGCTAGAGAACTTCTGGGTACAAAGAGCAAAGCTTTGTCTTTCTATGACCTATTACAGTCATACATCATCTTGGACTCCATGTGCCTTATAGCCTGTTTGCCAGAGGGTAGGATGGCTGCCATAGTTGACACCACCCACACCATCCCGCCCATCCAGCCCAACAAAACCACTTTACGTGATCCTGAGTGTGTTCCCATGGAGACAGACAGCGCCAGAGCCCTTTTTGTCTTCAGCCTCAACTCCTGTGGGACAACTGTCACTGTGAGAGACCATATTTATCACATTTCCTCCACAAATTAACTTTTTGGGCGTTTAATCTAAGCTGTCACGTCTCAACAGGTCAAAGGAAATCTGCTGGTTTATGAAAATCAGATCAGTTACGCTCAAGACCTTCTGCCTCTGGACGGTCCTGTCATACATAGAGATGCTCCATATAGGTGAGGACTGCAAACTGGATTTGTAACAAGTCCAATATGTTGGTCTAAATTCGTAATTGTTGTCTGTTTCAGGCTGACAGTCCAATGCCAGTACCCAACAAACGATACGAGTATTTCATCCATTCAGCATCATCAGCATCAACGTTTCAGCCATCAGAGCCCAACGAGCACGTAGCGAAGCTGCCAATCAACGCTTGTTTGTGTAAAACTATGATTTTGTTAAAATAGGGTTCAAGTATAAGAAAGATGTTGATAAACTTCATATGTTTGTATATACTCTTTATTGTATGCATTGTATAGGTTTGTGAGCATGTGAAAAGTTTGGGCTTTGTTTATTATTCTGCACCAGAACACACATTTGCATCCATAAACCCATAAATATACACGCATCTGGTCTTCAATCAGCCAAAAAGAGCACACGTCACCCCTCTGTTCATTGAGCTCCACTGGTTACCGCTAGCAGCACGCATCAAATTCAAATAGCTAACACTAGCATACAAAGTCCGAGATGGTACGGCTCCCAGCTACCTGAATCCTCTTGCAAAGGCTTACGTCTCGGCCCGGCCGCTCCGGTAATCACAGGATCGTCGGCTAGCAGTGTCTACACCACGCTCAGGACAATCCAGACTCTTCTCATGCATCGTTCCACAAATGTGGAATGATCTACCAAGCACTACCAGAACAGGGGCTTCCTTTTCAATTTTCAAGAAACTCTTCAGAGAGCATCTTCTAAACTAGCACCCTCCCTGCACCCGTCCCCCCTCTCTACTGTCCATTCCTTGTTCCCTCCTCTCCATGACTGATATCAAGTTGTTGTTTTTGTTGTTGTTAGCCTCAAGGGCAACATGCCGATTATCACTTGTAAGCCGCTGTGGACAAAAGCGTCTGCTAAATACATAAATTCATAAACATACAGATTAACTAAAGTTGTATGATTTTAAATATTAAATAATCTGAATTTTCTATATTAAAATTGTTTCCTCATAATGTATTATGACTGTTTTACAGATGACGGTTAAACCTTGAGTCTGTTTTGTCATATTGTTAGGTTTTGCTTTACAAGATGACCTAGCTGTACATAAACATACTATTTCTTCTATTAGTTTACCAAACCATTAAATACCTTTTGCTTATGCCACAAACATGTTTTGATTTGAGACTAAGAGCAACTTTAATTTGTTTATTTACAGAGAAATTCAGTGTTGCAACAGCAAAGGCTTGAGTGGTGGTGGTGGTGTGTGTGTGTGTGTGTGTGTGTGTGTGTGTGTGTGTGTGTGTGTGTGTGTGGAGGGGGGGGGGGGTTAGAACATCTGGTCATTATATTTTATTAAAATAATAACATAACATTCTAAGCCCTTTCAGTAAAAACAAATAGAAACTATGAGTGGATCCAAACTGCTTAATGAAAGTGTGTGGAGGGGGGACATGTTCCCCACTGTTCCCCCCTACAATTACATCTATGAATCTAGCTCTCATTAATACACTATTTCTTTCATGTCAAAGTGTCTGCCATGATATATGCTTATTGATTTAAGGATTAGTGTTAGCTAAATGAAATGAGCACACTCAGATATCCTTCATTTTGAATGTGTTCAGTAGTCAACCATGCTCATTAATATATGATTTTACTGGCACCTGTGCTGCCACACCTTCAAAAATAGCTGATTGCTAATTGTTTGCACATGTGGATGCAGCTACTCGTTAGAGAAATAGGTCATAAAGCCTGGTGAGGGAAAAGTAGCATCATGGTGCAGGCTTGGTGAGCTGCAAGTGGTGTTCTTGTGCTTGTGTTGGTCAGTTGGTGTAGTTTGCTAGCAGCAGGGCTAGCTTTAGACACTTCCAACACATCAGCAGCTATGGCTTTCAAGCTAAACTTTGGGTAAACTGTGTTAGTAGCACCTTTAAAAAAAATGAGGTTTTGTTTACAGGAATGTTTAATCTTGTCTTTGTGTTGCAGTGTGGCCTTCTTCCTGTCTTTATGGTCGACTGTGGGATGTGACTTCCTTGTGGAAGGTTTGTAAGTGAGCTTGTGAGTCTCTAAAGATGGGTTACTCTATATCTGAACCTTGTTCCTTCGTTCAGGAGTTCTTGAAATGGAGTGTCACGATCGTTACTTGGCGATAGCCTTAGATCTCTCTGCCACTGGAGCAAATCCTCGCTTTGAGGCTGTTGGTGAGTCCTGACTTCATTGGTCCAACAGTGAAGCTCTCAAGCTAAGCTCTTTGCTAATGCGATAAATCTCTTGCAGACAGATTTGGTGTCCATGCCATCACTGAGGCGTATGCGGCAATGTGTGGCTACAGCATTACTCTTCTCCCTTTCCTGGGCATGGTGGAGCTCAGAGCGTCATATTTCAGCTGTCACATTGAGAAAGTATGAACGGTCAAGCAAAGTTTTTCTGTTGATCAAACAGCCCTGACACTTTTTTTATTTTGTTTTAGGTTGATGGATTAGAGTTTAAATTTAATCTGATTACTAACTATGATGGAGAAGAGGTCTTTTATGTACTGAACAAGACCTGTCCTCCCCCTCGGCGAATGTCTTCTAGAGAGGTTACCTGTGAGGTCAACTACATGGAAGTAAGTCAGGATGAATCCTTAAGGATTAAGGAGCACATATGGGTCTCACTGGAATTCCTTCTCCCCCCCCCCCCCCCCCCCCCAGGTATCCATGAGGAGTGACCTCTCCTGCCCTTCTGAAATCAACAGTGACTGGACCGCTTTAAGACCAGTGCGTCGGCATACTATGCAACCTTTTTATGTTTATACATTATCTTGAGACAGTATGTTAAAATGGCCCTTTACAAGTTACACTCCAACCCCACCGCCCTCTGTGGCCTGAGTATCTCATTAGCAACTTCAGCATTGCTGGCATGGTCTTCGGATTAAGTCATGGAGCTGACATCACTAATGTTAAATCTGCTTCCAGCTCATTTCCTCCATGTTTTTAGATCATGAACACTTATTTATTTTTAACTGCTCCTGTAGAAGCCAATTAAGGCTGAGGAGACATTTTGGCATTTGGATTAAGGTGTTTAAAAGCAAAATTACAGCACACAAATTTACTCTTGCTTTAACACTAGGGGTGCTAAAAGCAAGGCAAAAGTGTAGTATCCCTCAAGTACTCTGTTTCTACAATCTGCTTCACTTCTCCTCAGACACACAGCACCTCAACCTCAGATTGGCAGGTTATCTTCCAGAGACTAGATGAGCAGCTGCCGCCCATGAATCTCTCCCAGGCTCGTAAAAAGGGCTACACATTTGACCTTATGCATGACCGAATTGTGTTTCGTACATCGTATGAGAAGCCTGAATCGTACAGGGTTGAGGTAGGCATGACGGCACCTTCTGTAACTTTACTGTCCATCTGGCTTATGAGCGTTTCGTGCAGGTGAGTGATGTTCCAGTAGAAGTGGTCCATGCAACACTTTTCTCAAGGAAAAGCTGGATTGTCCTCATGGTTGACCTGATTGCTGCCTGCTCTATGGGTAAGTGATGTGGCATTAAGCCTACTGGAAACCTGTCTGTACCTTAATTGGTAAACTTGTCTTCTGAACAGATGAAGGATCCTACGACAGTGGCTATGTTTTATGGAAGACTCCAGAAGCACTGTATTCCAGTTATAACAGAACTCAGATTAGTGTTGGCCTCAATGGTGAGCTTGTGGATAAAGAGTCTGCAATAACACTAGGCTTCATTGTGGAGACTCAATCTACAATCAAAATTGGCATCCCTTACAACACTGAGGGTGGATACAGAAAGGTAAGGGGCATTGTAAACATGCATAGCTGTAGAGGCGTACTACTGGTATGGCTGTATATCTGTTCCAGAGCTTTGTGGACAATGGCATCTTTGAGTTCTACATGTTCAACCTCTACTTGAAGCAAACATCAGTAGATGAACATTATGAAGAGACGGCAGTCAGATTTCAAAGGACTCTTGTTACTCCTCTACTGCCTTGTTCACTTTTCACTGAGGACCAAACCAACCTGAAAGAAGGAATGTTCACCATATACCTCGGAGATGTCCCAGAAGATGTTGAGTTGATTTCTGTCAAGCTCAATGGCGAAGAATTTCGAGTGCCATCTGATGTAAACGTTTTCTCGATTGTGGAAACTATTCATTCAAATAAAACCCACAGCTATACTCTAAAGGTGCCCCTGCACAACCCCATTATCATACAGAAGGTATGAGTCTTTACTCTGAGATATCTGCAGTCCCTCTTAGGTTTTCATGATTGAGTACTTTCTGTCTTAGTTCTCCAAAGATGCTGGGGCAATGTTGCACATACTGGATGTCAACTACACCCTGGCTGCTGACCCAGAGCATAAGTTTTACTACCACACGGTGTCTGTCACGACCTTGATTGATGTCTGTAAGTAAATGTTGCTTTCTATGTTGGTATGATCATGAACATGTCATTTATCTTGCACTATTTCATAGCTCCTCCATCATTTCATGCTGTCTGCAACAAAACTGGAATAAGTTTTCAGTTGAACCACCAGCCTTCAGATTACCTGTGGAAATTCGACATTGGTCCAGACCGGCTAACACCGGCCCTGGCAGCCAAGCATGGCTACATTATGAGCAACAACAGCCAGAGCCTGCTGCTGTTTATTCCACAACTTGCTCATGGATTTAAATACACGGTAGGGATTGCCATTCACTGCCTAAAGAGCATTAGGTGCATCTCTGGAATTTTTTTTTTCCTCAGGATGTTTCACTGAAGGGATTCCTTGGCACATTTGAGATCCTCGTGAAATCTCTCAACACGTCACAAGTCCGGGCTTCAACAACCAAGACGTGTCCGTTCAATTCAACAGAGATGATTTGTAAGGGCATGTTTATCAAAAGTAGTTTGGTTCAGTGTCTAAATGTGCTAACAGGGTTATTTTTTTTCTAGTGTGTTCAACGAGTGGCTGGATGACTGTTGTGGTTGACTTGTCTCTGGTTGTCAAAAGCAACTGGATCGTAAAGGAAACTAGCCTCATCAATGAGCTTTGTGTACCCAAAGAAACTGATGGCAATAGGGTTCTCTTCTCCTTCCCACTCCATAGTTGTGGCTCTAAAGTTGAGGTAAGACTAATGGTTGGAGCTTGATTCTAATTCTGGCTTTTCAATTGACTTCTGTCTGCTTGTGTTTCAGTTGTCCAGGGGAAATGTGATTTATCAAAACAAGATTTATTACAACTCTGGTTCTGCTAATGCCACCGAAGGGTATGTGTTACCTTGGACTATTAAATCAGTTTCATGGGTTCTTGTTCTAAAATTTTTTTTCTAAAGGGTGATGGTGCAATGTGCATATCCACTAGCTGGGCTCCACAGCCTGTTCTCGACTCATAGATTTGAGTCTGACAAGGAAGGTGTTGGCAGCATAATCCCTTCTAAAAGGCCCACCCAAGGTAAGGTTCATCCACCAGCTGGACAAGATTATCAACCTTGGATCTGATTAATGTAATCTTCTAGATACACCACGGTCCACTGAAGCCACCACTAGACCTGCAACCACAGTGGCTCTCCAAAAAACCAAATCTAAAAGCCCTGTCCTGTACCTTTCCTCCTTCTACCCAACTGCTCGCTACATAAAGGTTCCTAGTGCTCAAAGGGTAGTTGCTAACTTTAAAAAAGGTAAATGCAAAACTTTTATTATTGCAATTTTGTAGAGCTTGTTAACTTTTATAAATTTCTTTTAGGCACCAAATGAAGCTTGCCAGATGAGGATTGTTTGACTACAAATTTTTAAAAGAATTGTGTTCAACTTTAATAAAAACGTTTTTTACTTTACTGTGCATTCTTTTCTTTAAGATTTTGCTTTTTAGGGCTTCTGTGGTTCGATGAGTAAGTCTAAAAACCCTTGGTCAGATTGCATACAGGTGCTAAAAAAATAGCATTGTGATAAAGTTAGTTTTCTGTAATGTACTGATAACCATTAGGCCCCCTAGTTGGAAAAACCCTCAGGTCACCCTTCTTAAAGATGGGGACCACCACCCTGGTCTGCCACGCCAAAGGAACTGCCCCCGATGACCACACAATGTTGCAGAGACGTGTCGACCAAGACAAACCTACAACATCCATAGCCTTGAGATACCCAGGATAAATCTCATCCGCCGCCGGTGCTCCACTACTGTGTAGTTTGACTACCTCAGCAAATTCTGCCCCTGGGATTGGACAGTCCATCCCCAGGTCTCCCAGCTCTTGTTCCTCCTCGGAATGTGAGTAGGTGGGATTGAGGAGCTCCTCAAAGTATTCCTGCCACTATCCGACTATAGCCCCAGTTAACGTCAGCAGCTCCCCATCCCCACTGAAACGGTGTGAGCGAGTTGCTATCTTCCTCTCCTGAGGTGCTGGTTTGCCAGAACCTCTTTGGAGCTGATCGATAGTCTTTTTCCATGGCCTCACCAAACTCCTCCCACGCCTGAGATTTTGCCTCGGCACCTGCCACTGCTGAACCCCGCTTGGCTATCCGGTACCTGTCTGCTGCCTCCGGAGACTCACAAACTACGTCATGCAAATAAAGGTCCTTCTTAAAAAAAAAAAAAAAAAAAAAAAAAATTGGCATATTGTGATAAAACTTATAGTGCTCCGGACCCCACGTGACTGTTAGTAGATGCCATATTGGCAGGAAAAAGGTAAACATGAACGGGATTGGCTTGGATTTTACTCAGTTTACTTCACACTTTAAAACCGAAGAAATCGTTTTGTAAGAAATTAAATAGACTAAACATCTCCGACCCTTACCGTGCCCCTGGGATACTTTTTAAAAACGCCAGAAGATGTCTGAGGACTTCTTACCGGACCTGTTTGGGGAACCCCTTGGGATTTCCCCGGAGGAGCTGGCCCAAGTGGCTGGGGAGAGGGAAGTCTGGGCCTCTCGACGGTACTGCTCCCGCAACCCGATTCTAGATAAGCGGATGGATTACGAACAGATTTACATGTAAGTAGTTTAAATAGTGCTGTGCTGTTCATAAAAACTGAACGCCAAGAGAAATCACTAGTTTTTTTTTCCGTGAATAAAATAAAGTCAGGCAGGAGCGTCTCAGGATCTGTCTCGGTGAGACAGATAATAGCAATCCAAAGTGCTTTTTATGTGTGATCTGACAATTTCAACCATTGCTTAAAAATTAAATACAGCTTAGCCGGTTAATTGCTGTGATCATAAAACATGTAAACGGCAGCACGCAGAAATCACGAGGCAACGTTTTACGTGATGTTTACTTGTTGCTATGAGTAATAAGACAGAAAAAAGCCACGCCAAAATAAGTTTAGGAAGCCCACTAAGAATCGTACACGGGGTATCTTTACAGTATGCTCTAATGGGAAAACAGGCTTCAACACAAACGGTTGTTTTCCACTTTGTCCTAGAGCTCAACCAGTGTCAATTTAATATAGCGTAAAATAGCTTTTGGATGGTAAAAAGTGCAGGGGTCAAAACTTGACTTTGGAAAAAGTGTGTGTGTGTTTGTGTGTGTGTGTGGGGGGGGGGGAATGTCCCCCCCCCAAAAAAAATTAATTACGTCCATGCATGCCGGGAGAAGTGACGTCAACTCCCGGAGCTCTATTGTCTGTAATGTACTGATACACATCAGACTTTCTCATATATTAGCTGCATTTCACACAACTGAAGTAGTTCAAGCCCTTTGTTTCTAATGACTTTTGACATACAGCTCATGAGAACCCAGAATTCCTATCTCAAAAAATTAGCATATCATGAAAAGGTTCTCTAAACGAGCTATTAATCTAATCATCTGAATCAACTTATGAACTCTAAACACCTGCAAAAGATTCCTGAGGCTTTGGGCAAAACTCCCAGCCTGGTTCATTGCTCAAAACCGCAATCAAGGGTAAGACTGCCGACCTGACTGCTTTCCAGAAGGCCATCATTGACACCCTCAAGCAAGAGGGTAAGACACATATTTCTGAACGAATAGGCTGTTCCCAGAGTGTTGTATCAAGGCACCTCAGTGGGAAGACTGTGGGAAGGAAAAAGTGTCAGAAAACGCTGCACATCGAGAAGAGGTGACCGGACCCGGAAGAAGATTGTGGAGAAGGACCGATTCCAGACCTTGGGGGACCTGCAGAAGCAGTGGACTGAGTCTGGAGTAGAAACACCCAGAGCCACTGTGTACAGGTATGTGCAGGAAATAGGCTACAGGTGCCGCATTCCCCAGATAAAGCCACTTTTGAACCAGAAAAAGCAGCAGAAGCGCCTGACCTGGGCTACAGAGAAGCAGCACTGGACTGTTGCTCAGTGGTCCAAAATACTTTTTTTTCAGATGAAAGCAAATTTTGCATGTCATTCGGAAGTCGAGGAAGACTGGGCAGAGGGAAATACCAAAATGCCTGAAGTCCAGTGTCAAGTACCCACAGTCAGTGATGGTCTGGGGTGCCATGTCAGCTGCTGGTGTTGGTCCACTGTGTTTTATCAAGGGCAGGGTCAATGCAGCTAGCTAGCAGGAGATTTTGGAGCACTTCATGCTTCCATCTGCTGAAAAGCTGTATGGAGATTATTTCATTTTTCAGCACGACCTGGCACCTGCTCACAGTGCCAAAACCACTGGTAAATGGTTTACTGACCATGGTATTAGTGTGCTCAATTGGACTGCCAACTCTCCTGACCTGAACCCCGTAGAGAATCTGTGGGATATTGTGAAGAGAAAGTTGAGAGACGCAAGACCCAACACTCTGGGTGAGCTTAAGGCCGCTATCGAAGCCTCCTGGGTCTCCATAACACCTCAGCAGTGCCACAGGCTGATTGCCTCCATGCCACGCCGCACTGAAGCAGTCATTTCTGCAAAATGATTCCCGACCAAGTATTGAGTGCATAACTGAACATAATTATTTGAAGGTTGACTTTTTTTGTGTTAAAAACAATTTTTTTATTGGTCGGATGAAATATGCTAATTTTTTTAGAGGAATTTTGGGTTTTCATGAGCTGTATGCCAAAATCATCAATATTAGAAACAATAAAAGGCTTGAACTACTTCAGTTGTGTGTAATGAATCTAATATATATGAAAGTCTAATGTTTATCAGTACATTACAGACAATAATGAACTTCATCACAATATGCTAATTTTTTTTAGAAGGACCTGTATATCCAGATGTCTCTGAAACTAGGTTGGAGCATTTGAAATGTTCCTGGAAACGTTCCTCATGGTGTTACTAAAGATGGTTTCTCTAACCATAGCTGTTTAATATTCCACAAGCCACCAGTTAATTGACATCATGGAATGACATGAGCAGAAAGTGAAATTGTAAAATATCAAGACTAAGACTGTCTCTTTTACAACCACGCTAATGAACTGGAGTTGCTCATTGACTCCAGCAAAGACTATGATGATCAGAGGGTTGCAGGTTTGAGCCCCACTTGGTCTGTCTAGGTTGTGCCCTTAAGCAAGACCCTCCTTGCCTGCTTCTGATGGTGCCAGTGTCCATTAACCTAACTTCTGTCAGTGTGGTCCAGAGCAGCTGTGATTGTCACCACAAGCATGTGAATGTAGCGCCTTTGGGGTTAGGACTCAAAAGTGCTGTTTAAACCGGTTAAGTAACAAGTGAATTAAGTTTATAAGAGTTGCCAAGCAACTTGTCCAGCAACAACTTTGTAGTCTTGGAACAGGACTATTGAACCATACAGTCCATTCAAGCCGTATACAAAAATATAACCAGATATTGAATAACTTGAAACGTTTGGAAAATATTGCCCTTAAAAGAACTTGAATGCTAAACTTTTCTGCAAGTGACTATTCAAATCACTACTGCCCCTACTGAAGACCAAAGCATGTTTTAACCCTTAAGAACTCATGTTGACTCTGTCTCAACCATTCAAAAAAGTGTTTTAGAGTCCTATTTAACTTTGACAAACCCTAATGACATCCTATCCATGCATATATAAATATATATATTTTAAATGTGTGTATTCCAATCTGTTTAAAGTGTTTAGATTCTTAAAGGCTAAAATGAAATGCAGCAGAAAGTGAGATTTAGATCTGCTCTGCCTGCTGAAAGTCAAGTGAATATGGTCATTAGTCAGTAGGTCTACAGACCCGTGAATTACTTTATTCCACCTTTACGGGTTTATACGGTTTTCACTCCACGGAAATGAGCACAATTATTTTCATCTGAATAGGTTTACCAAGTCAGCCTGTTATACTTCAGAATATGTTTTTCCTCTAATTTTTGGAAGACCACGTCAAGTTAATGTCAATCAGTCTTTGGCTTCTCTACTACTTATCTCCCATGTTTAGATCTTTTGTTCCTCTTGAAACTGCCTTTTTTTCCTTTTGAAGATCTGCTCACTAAAATAATTCTCATCATTGGTGAGAAAACCTTTTACATGTCTGCTTATGTCATTTCCTCTTAAATTCTGTACTTTACATTCGATGACAGTCACACCTCAAAAGACCTTCACAAGTAAGTTTGTCTTGTTTTAAGACCGGACTTTAGTGATAAACTGCTCTTTGAGTGTGTTTTTGTTCGTGTGGAGCAGAAACTGAGGCGGACCACCGACTCTCGACAGGTTCGCATGTTCCACATCCACTTCCTAGTAAGGACAGGTCGGACCCCCCTATGCAGAGGCTCGTTTAGAGCCAACAAACAACACTTACCTCCTCAGTGAGCACCATCCACCCATCTGAGCCACCATGTCCTGCAGGATCCAGGGTGCTGGCATCAGGGTAAGTCCTGAAACGTGTCCAGCAACTATCCCAGACCCAGCTATGCTTTCACTTTTATGCTTCGGTGTAGTTTTGTAGAAGGAGACTCAGACATCAACGCGATGTTGATTGTTGACCATGCTTAATTTAAAGTGATTAATAACAGCAAATGGGAGGGAAATGAGAAATTCAATGATTGCGTTTGGTGCTAGTCGTAAAATTAGAATGACGAAGATGATTCAGTAAATCCGTTCAAAAAGTGAAACTTGTATGTTAGATTAATTAATTACACAGTTATATTTCAAATGTTTATTTCTTTAATTTTAATTAAAACTGACAACTAATGAAAATCCCAGATTCAGTATCTCAGAATGTTGTGAAAAGGTTCAAGACCCATGCGACTCTAATCAGCTAAGTCAAAACCTATGTCGATGGTCAAAACCACATGAAAAGCCTTTAAAGGGGCATTATGGGGCAAAACATGTGTAGAAATAATACATGTCTTCTTAATACATTCTCCTGCAATGCCCTGGTCCTGTAGAATGAGCCCTGGCATTTTTACTGTGATTGTCTGTTTTTCTGTAAAATCACAGAAAAAGAGATGCTCGGGTCAAGCAGGCTGCTTCATGTGCATTCACGCTCAAGCATCGCCCTCCGAACCATTCTTAAGTGGTACAGATATAAGGGACATTATTGGCGTGTTAGCTCGCCTAGTAAGACATTGGACTTATATGCAGAAGACCCGGGGTTTGATTCTGGATGTGAATATAGTTCATTTAGAGTTTCTTTTTTACATTAATAGTATATTTTTTTACAGTAAGATGTCCAAATTTTTATCTGAGACTCGCCGAACGGCATTGAATTCACAGATAAAAAAGATGTGGGTTCAACTTTCATTTTGGAACAATTTTTCAAGCAAGGTAAGGAATGATCTGAGCATGCAGGAGGACTGACCCATCATAAACCTTTGTCGGCTGTGCTGAAGAGAAAGGTACAGAACCAAATTATTTAATTAATTAGCTGCGCGTTCTCCTGTCCTCTGTCCTCCAGGCCACACACACACACACACATGGAGCTGACTGTCTCAGCTGTTATTTTCGTTAAGGAGTGTGCACGTACAGCATGCGCGCCTCGTGCACGAGCCTACTATTGAAGCTGCCGTTACGCTTTTGGCCTGAGGGGGCATTCGCGAGCATAAAAATTCAAAACTCCGTAAAGTCCCTTTAAATCGTCTCCGAGTCTAGTTCTGTAGGCTGCACAATCATGGGGAAGACTGCTGACCTGACATTTGTCCAAAAGACGACCATTGACACCTTGCATAAGCAGGGCAAGACACAAAAGGTCGTTGCTAAAGAGGCTGGCTGTTCACAGAGCTCTCGAGTCCAAGCACATTAATGGAGAGGAGAAGGGAAGGACAGGGTGTGGTAGAAAAAGTGTACAACAATAGAGATGACCCCACCCTGGAGAGGATGGTGAAACTAAACGTATTTATAAATGTGGGGGAGATTCACAAAGAGTGGACTGCAGCTAGAGTCAGTGCATCAAGAACCACCACACACAGAAGTATGCAAGACATGGTATTCTAATGTTATGATCAGCACCTGTAGTTTTAAATCTTAGTGATTTACTATCTTATTTGTGTTCTTTCATCCACTGTTAGTAAGATCATGTCTTTACTGTTCCTAGGATTGTGGTTGCTTTAGACTCAACACTCCTAAACCCATCATGTCTGCCTGTGTGGCCCCTCCAAACTGCCCAGACCCGTTCAGAACAGGACCACACCCCATCAGGGACCTGGGAAGCCCCACCTGGGCCACCCTTAGCTCACACCCTCAGATGCAGTTTCAAACGGGTGTAGTCCAGCTCACGCAGGAGGAGGACCAGGCCATCACCAGCCTGCTGAAACTACACCACCACAAGGCAGCAACAGAGCCCTGCAGGGACATCCCCGCTCCGTCTACGGAGTCCAACCCTGGTTCTCTCAGCCCCGAGGAGCCCATGAGAACAAAGGGGCCAGGCTGGTCGGAGACAGAGTTTGAAGTGGCGAGCACTCTCTTACACGGCTTTAACCAGGAGGAAGTCCTATTCAGATGTCCAAATCTGACTCAGGTGGACAGGCGCAAACCCAGAAATGGACAAGGGATGATGAGCTCTAAGGAGTTGACCAGTTTGGAGAAGGACGCCGTGTGTGTGCTCCTCAGCTTAAGGGACACGTAACACTACTTTGTAGTTATTCTGCTGAAGATCTGGTGGTTTGTCAAGCAGTTAAACTTTTTATTTTAAGTTCTTAAATTCTTTATTTTTACTTTAGACGTAAAAAAAAAACTCAGTGCTGTTCAGAACGCTCAATGTCAGCGTTTAATAAAAATGTTGAACTTCCTGTACAAACAAGACATTTCTTTTCTCCAATAAAAGTGCAAGTACCGATTTAAAACATTTTCAGTAATATACAACATAATGTACATCTCCAGAGTGTAGACTAGTGGCAGGCTGCAGGGGGCGCTGCAGCGCAGAGCAGCAAGACGACACCTTTCTAAAAGTGGTGTGGGACTTCCTGGCTGTCTGGAGCTTTTCCCTGAACGTGAACAGAAACCTGGCGGTCAGACCCGGTGGGATATGGCGGGATATTCCCGGTAGGAATGCGTGAACCTGCATGGCACCATGCTGTGTTTACAGTATCAAAGGCTCCAGAACTGGAATCTCTTACATTTCACTAACATGAATTCAATGTGGACGGACCAGATTCTGTCTCTTCTGGTCGAAATGAAAACCTCCCCCTCCCCCACACTTGGTTCTTTGGGCTCCATGTTCCATCTCAGCGGTACTTGTTGTCCTTCAGCATGTTGGAAGCCTGGGAGACCCTGTAGCGCTCTAGGAGGTTTTTCCTCCTCACGTGCTCGTTGGTGATCTCTATGGTGTTCGCTACGGGGAACCAGCCCTTCTGACCATCAGACAAGCGGATTCCTTCGTACACGCCTGAAGACATGCAAGAGAAGAGCGGGGGGGAGGGATTACGGGAAGGACAAACAAAGGAAGAGCAGGTTTTGTTCATGCAGGTAACGAATCAGCAAACTGCTAAATTGAAGGGTTAAGGATTGAGGCGGGGTGTTTGAACAAGAAAAATCCGCAACATCAGCTCCAGTGAGGAAGAGGAATCGGCCACTTTTCAGTGGACCTTACCCTCGTTGGTTTTACAGATGACGTTGACGATATCAGCCGGCTCCAGGTTGAGCTCGTCCGCCTGCTGGGCGACGTACTGCTCCACACACTGCACCTGAGGACAGTCTGAAGCAAACACACCCATAAACAAACACACACCATCTGCTAGAGGGGATGTGTGTGTGTGGCATCCTCACCAAACTCCTCATACACCTTTTCCTCCTCATCTTTGCTGAAGGAATCTGGAAAAGCTGCCAGCCATCTGTGCATGTCAGACCTGTTGACAGAAACCGGCTGAAATATTCATGATCCACAAACAGGAAGACAGTTGAACGCCACAATTGTCAGTTTCTTATAAGTTTAATACAAAGAAACGTTGAGCAGAAGCTCTCTGGAAGTTGAGAACACGTAGACGATGTTGTGGTGACTGTTAAGTGTGTTTTTATTTAAATGTTATAAATATTTACTGTCTTAGTCACCGTAGACTCCTTCCTGAACAGCTTCTCTTCTGAGAAACGGTGTATGACCTTCAGGAGTCATGAGCCAGCAGCCAAAACCCTCATATGGTCTAACAACAAGCTCGGTCTCCTATGTGTTCTAGCCGCTGTGCCTTTGAACACTTTTACTTACAGCTTAGTGTTTTTCATTCATACATGTCACCAGCAACAGCTAAAGGGCAAGTCGAGCAGTCCTTTACTTATATTTACGTCAAAATAACCTAGCGAGTCGTTAATTACAGGTGGGCGGTGCCAAGGAGCGGGCAGCTGTTGCTGATCCACCATCAGCCGGGCTGGTATAAAGGGAGGAGTGAGATGCCTTCACCTAGCCGGATGATTACTTGCCTCCAGAACACAAGCCTCTACACTCACCACTCCACCACACTTCCTCGGATCTCACCCCTGGACCACGCCTCGCTCCTCAAACCCAACCGACCCGCTCTCCACCGCTCACCTGCCCCCTCCTGCATCCTGCTCCCAAGTTCCATCGAAGGGTTCCCAAAAACCTGGTTACCACACTCGGACCTGACCTCCCTTCCCTCAGGAGCTTGTCCTCCCCCACCGGAACCACCGTCTCCCTCGGACCGGCAGATTGCTGAGATCTCCTCCTCCCTTTTAGATGGTGCTCCTTTAGTTACATAAACCTTTTTTTTTTACATTATACTCACCCAGTTGTCTCGCTTTTCTGATTCTGTATGTCTTGGGTCAGAAGAACCCCCCACAACATGACAAAACCAGAATTAAAATAAAATAATAAAATACTGGTGTGAGGCCATTCAGGGAGTAATCTCCAGATACGAGTTATTTATAACTTTTACACAGAAACATGCTTCAAAATGGTCACGTTTAATTTAAGATACTGATGTATCTACAGAGTGATAGAGCATAAGGAGTAAATCTGGTCCACCCTGACACCTGCAGCAGTGATCCACCCAACAGAGCAGCAGGTACCCTCATATGAAATCTGGCTAAGCTTGGAGCTGAAACACAACAAGAACTGGAAGTAACAGGATAACCTGTTTTAACATTTTATGGTGGGACATGTTTAGGTTTTAGGTGTGGGTTTATGCCAGGAAAAAGTAGAAAGGGGAGCCTGGATCAACCAAAAGGGAGATGGACTCCCCCAAAAGCCCTCAACTGACACATCCAGGGGGAGCTCGATAAATGAGCTACCCCCAACTCTCATCGAGTTTGAACGGGGCTCCCCGGGAAGCCTGTGTATAATCCGACCCCCGGAGCCAACCGTCAATCCTAGTTATAGCAAGGCGTCCTGAGAGCTTCTCAGCAAAAGGAGTTGAATCACTCAGTTTCCTAAACACCCTCCCAGAGGAACTCCTTCGGACCACTTGAGAACCGTTCGGTGATGTACGATGCGTTTTCCAGCATGATGAGCGCTGAAACATGAAGCTACAGTCGTACCTAAGGCTCGGTTCCCATGGCTAGGGCTGGGCGATGCGGCCTAAAATCAATAACCCAATATAATGAGGAGTTCCCCTCGATAACGAGAAATGGACGATAACTACATGTATGCGCAGAAACAAACGTTGTCCACTAGATGGGCTGATCCTTTTACCGATTCTCCCCTGTCAACAATCTTAAGCACATGCCGTATTACTAGGGTTGGGCATCGAGCATTGATTGGAACCGGTTCCAACTGTTCGTTTTTCCCGGAATCGTTCAAAGTTTATTTTGATTCCTAGAATGCCGACTGAAGAGGAATCTGCGGCCGATCTCCGTGAAAAATAAACGTGATCTGCAAATTGTGATCAACGCTTTCCAGAGCTGATCACACCAGCTGTCTGTGTGCAGCATGATCCCCCCCCCCCCCCCCCCCCCCCACCCAGATATAAACAAACACGTCTGCCGAACTTTTACTCCGTGATGTAAACTTTAACTCCTGCAGCGTAGAGGAAACTTGTTAAATACGTCAGCACGGTGGATTTAATAGAAGCTTTAAAGAACAAACTCTGGATGGTGTGAGGTGAGTTTGTCTCACTGCAGAAATAAAAACACACACGGAGCGTCAGCAGTCAGACGCAGCCGCTCACCAACAATCGTGTGTGTGTGTGTGTGTGTGTGTGTGTGTGTGAGCGTCAGAAGGCTGAGCAATAACCTGTAGAATAATTAAAGTCATCATGCTAGAGCAGCTTCTCTGTGGGGGACCACACCAGCTTCAGTCAAAATAACAATAATAATAATGATAATAATAAATCATACACAAAGTTGTGAACATTTAAATTTCCTTTCTGAACTATTTCTGTTGAGTTTTAATGTTTAAAATCTGTTAAGATTGTTACTGACAGCAGCTACGTTTAAGTTTCACTTCCTGTTCTGACTGAATGCTGCTGCAGCATGGAGGTGTAGTTCTCAGTCATCCTGGACATGATCATCCTGAGAGTTTTAGCTGAAAACAGCTGGACGTTTCTGGATATGTTGGAGACATTTAGCCTCTCATCCCAGAGGCTTCTTCCAGACTTTGGTTGTGGTCAGAAACAAACACACTGGTTGTGCTGCAAGTCTTTCTTTTTTTCTCCAAAACAGGTTTTTGTCTAAATGAAGGTGATGTTGTTGTTCATAGAATTAAAATTCATGTTGAAGTTAAGATTATTTCATCAAGTAGGACCTGTGGTCAGCTGGCTCATGTAAAACATGTCATGTCTTGAAAGAATCGGAATCAGGAATCGATAGGAACCGGAATCGAAACAAGGAATTGGAATCGTTCAAAATCAAACGATGCCCAACCCTATTTATTACTGTAACGATCCTAAAGATAATCTTATCAGATAATCTTGTTAGGGATGTGAGACAATATCAATACACAGAAATATCGCAGTATTTCATTTTATGATACTGAAATATTTAAATGCAGTGAATCTATTTTTAATCAAGAACTGACATGCAAAAACGTACTGTATTACTTGTGCGTGGTTGCAATTCAAACTCCCACTGCTAGGTGGCAGCAGCTTTTACCACCTTCATTCTGACAGAACAACCAGATCTCGCAATTACACTGGATGTGTCTCGGAAGTGTCTGGCCTGAGTTTTCTAATTAAATTCAGTCTTAAAAATGGCAACTATCGTCTAGCTTTGAGTATCGTAACATATCGTATCGTCTATTTTATTGTGATACATGTCACAATCGCCAGATTCATGCCAACACACACCTCTGATTCCTGCAGTGTGTTGTGTGTTATGAGCACTCTGGTCTGCTCAAAGGCACACCGGGCCCGCTCCGGTCATAGGTCATAAACACATTGAGTGGTCTTGGTCTGATTTTCAAGGACAAACTTCTGTTGAATAGGACGTGTAGCCAATCAAAAAGTGAGGTGACAGAAGCCCTCAGCACACTCGTCCTCCACCATGTTGGTTTACTCTGAAGGCTCAATTGCGAGATTTCTGGTCAGACTGGGAAATGTTCGTGTGTGAAATTGATTGTTGCGTAGTGTTTTCCCGTGTTGCCACATACACCACACCTCGTCATGGCAAAACTGGTATAGCCACGATTTTACCACCATTTTAGACCGTTTTAAAGGAGAATGTCAGAGCCGCTGGGGGTTTCGTATAGAGATGGGCGTACTCACTGTGAGGGGGCTTTGAGGAGCCGTTCCACAGCGCGTCCCTGGTGGTTTTCCACGATGGTGAGGTTGAAGCAGTTCTCGTAGGTGACGCTGCCGCTGCTTTCCTCTAAAGGCTGAACCTGCACCATGGAGCGATGACCGTGGTCCATCACCACGAAACGCTCCGCACTGTTCAGAACAAAACACAACTCAGAAAGGAATCTGGTGCTGAGAGAACGCTGAGGTTGAACTTGAAACTCCAAAATGTGCTTGAGGAAGTTTATAAAAAAAACCCACAAGGGCATCGTTTAGCTCTTCATGTACTTTACCAGGAATTCATTCTTTTCTTCAGCTAAGCTGTTTATGTTTTTGCTTTCCTGTCACCTCTTATGTTTGAGGAAGTCATGAGCCTCTTCAGGATTGATGACAGACACAGACAAGCTTTGGTTTGACGTTTCTCTTCGGTAACGAGGTGTTAAAACAGCTGGATAACACCTGACCACAAGTTATCTCCTTATATTCAATCAGAATCACCGCCTTTCTGTGGTGGGACTGTTTTAACGAGCTGACGCTTTAAAGCCAATCCAAACGTGAGTTCTGCCGTACCCCTTCTTGTTAGCGATGATGAGAAGATCGTTGAACAGGAAGAGGTGGACGGGGTTGAACTTCGCCCTCATGTTGACCAGAGTCTTTCCTTTGGACATTTCGTGAAGCTCGCCCTTCTTCTCCAGATATCGAGTCTCTGAGATGACGGGGATGGCCTGAGGAGAACAGTCAGTTCTATTTAAGAGATCAATGTTGTCACAATACTAAAAGTTTAAAGTGACTATAAATAAATCTCAGGACCTCTGAGGTTTTTGTCATTTTGTACAGTACGAACAAAAATGACAAATTAGGAACAAAACAATTCTATAAGTGTAACTATTTTTCTGTTATTCAGAACAAGCCCAAACGCTCTGACATCAGGTGGTTTCCGGTTTTAAGATCAACATAATTTTAAGAACTCGTTAAGAAAGATAACATGTTATTTAGCAGCAGAAATAAATCATGTGCAATAAGTACTGTAGTTTTAATCTTATGAGTAATTATAGCTGATAATAATTTTATTGCAGCGGTAAAAATCTTTAAAATCCGGTATTTTAGCCCATGGGGTGATTTTAAACAGCTTATTCCTGTCAGCAATCCTTATATGCATCTAGATAACTCACCCTGGCCCATTAACAGTGTCTGCGTGTGATTTGGGTTGGTACTTTCTCATTGCCACATCCTTATTGCATTGCTGTGATGAGCATTACACGACTGGCTGTTAAAAATCTTTAAAATCATCACAGACTCGATTCACCAGCAGGATTCTCCCACCACATGGCGATAAAACCTCAAAGATGTCGCGGTTTTGGTCCTACAGTGTGTTGTTGAGGCCAAACCACACACCACACATAAACCCATTTCACTCACCAGCGTTTCCCAGTCAGACGGAAACTATTTTGTAAAAACTTCTTAAGATCGAATATGATCGCAATGTAAACAATTAAACAAACATGGTGGACAAGGGGGAGGATTTGGACTCCCTTCGCTTTGTGCAGCGTGATTCCATCGCTTCGCATTCTGATTGGCTATACATCACATTAAACAGGCTGCACACTTGTTTGTCCTTGGGCCACATCGAGCTAAGACAATCCAGCATGTTGACTATCCCTGATTTTTAACTGAAGCTGTCCCAACCTGCTTCCTAGCTAACTAGAGCACTCCTAACACACCACACACAGCAGGAATATCTGATAAGATTATCTTAGGGTAGTTGAGGGCATCATTAACATTGTCATAGTTGAAGAATCAGATGAAAAATGGGCATACATTATCTTCCTGAGCTTGGAGCAGTTTAACAGGAAGTGAAGCTAAATTAGCTAGCATACTGAATTGTTATACGGTTATGTAGCCTGAGCGGAAGTAGTGGAAGGGGTTTCCAGTGTAAGCCCCATCCTCCCCACTGGATCTCCAAGCTCAGTCCATGTGGCATCTCTCTCAAACTTGCAGTGGAGAACCTCTGACCAGCGAGGGACTGGAGTCTGTCAGAAGCCTGGGGGCTCCGTGGCTGATACGTAGATGCATTACGTTGGGAATTACGGGACATAAGGTGCCAACGCTAAGTCGAAAAGGTGGGATAATGTGTTTTTATAGTAGTTTGACAATATTTGTTATGTCTGGATGATGTACAGTTGTGGTCAGAAGTTTACATACACTTGTAAAAAATATAATATAATGGCTCTACTGAGTGTCCCGTTATTTCTAAAACTCTGATTTTTCTCTGATAGAGTGATTGGAACAGATACTTCTTTGTCACAAAAAACATTCATGAAGTTTGGTTCTTTAATGTCTTTATTACGGGTTAACAGAGAAAAGTGATCACATTTGCTGGGTCACAAATATACATACAGCAACATGAACTAGCAATTTTGGTGACTTAGAAACGTGTCAGTGAACTGAGCTTCATAGCATGGCCTCTTAACTTGTTGTGAGTGATTATGAGTGACTACAGCTGGCCAGGTAAATAGGGCTCATTGGATACAAACGCCCACAAACGCTACAATGGGAAAGTCAAAGGAGCTCAGCATGGATCTGAAAAAGCGAATTATTGACTTGAACAAGTCAGGAAAGTACGAAGAAGAAGTATCTGTTCCAATCACTCTATAAGAGAAAAATCAGAGTTTTAGAAATAACGGGACACTCAGTAGAGCCATTATATTATATTTTTTACAAGTGTATGTAAACTTCTGACCACAACTGTACCAATGTCTGTGACCATCAGATGCTGTGACTCTAGAGGGGAGCCTGAAGGAAGGGAGTTGGACCTTTTAACTGTTATTGTTCAAAATGCAGCTTGAGCAGCTTTTTCCTGGAACGTCGACCCCACCTTTCAGCCCTGGACTGACAGCTTGCAGCTATCTTCCCACCACCACAGCCTCACCTGTATCAGGCGTGATTGTTCCAACTCACCTTGAGTTTACTATCAAACTCCAGCATGGCAGAGATCTGAATCAGCTCCTCCATCTGCCTCATCTTTCCCACCTCGGTGTTACATTTGTCAATGATCTGCGTTTGATCAGAGAGAAAAAGTCTCATCAAACTTCACCATCACTCACAGAAACAGCTGACATGTGCAGAGTAGAAAGTGAGGAATGACGAGCGTTTACCTTCGACACAGAATCCAAAGCCTTGGTGGCCGTCTTCTCCTCTTTTGTCCCTTCAACCGTTCTCCTCAGGATGTTCTGAAAGCAGAAAACTCATTATTTCTGCAATACACGAGGTCATAAGGTTGGGGCAAGGTGCACTCGTATGCGTTTGTCCTCTTGACAGGAAGTAGTGAGGAGTTTGAGTGTGAGAGGATGAATCTGGAATGAGAGCATTCCTCACAGCTAAGCACTGACGTTGTTGTCTTTCAGTGGAAATAAGGCAGAACAGAGAAAGGTTGTTTTACCTCAGTGTACGGTGACATTTGGTGATGAAAACACAGATGGAGTAACTGTTTGTTTCAATGCGTAATTCACTTCTATCTCCTAAACCTCAAAAAGACCCAATCAGGACGGATGTGTTCCAGTTAGCGGAATCAGAGGGACCCGCTAACACTATACCAGTATTCGCTAACTAGCTGCTCACATGGTTTTACAATGAACTTTAAACATTGTAGAAATATGTTCATGGTGTGGACAACTGATTTAACTAAAATAAATGCAAATGAACATATTATTATTGCAGCCATATTGAATTACAAGCAGGGTAACTGCAGGTTTAAGGGAGCCAGATTTAAGACTTTTTTTAAGGCCACTTTGACCAAATTTAAGCTATTTTTTTAAATTAAATTTAAGCTATAATTTCCAGCTATTGTCTGGAACCGGTGCGAACCATGTCGCAAACGTGGGATTAGCCATCCAGTTACCATTAATGTTGCACTTCCCCATGGCGCAAGCTACTCATCTAAAAATAGCCCCCTTTCTCAACCAACTGAATGTGTACGGTTACGTTTACGCCAACATCGTACACAAAAAATGCTGACCACTAACTAGAAATTCACAAAAAATTTTATAGAAATAAAAGAATTTTGTTTATTGGGTCTTTGGTAATTTAAGACCTTTGGCAACTGTATTTAAGGATTATTTGTCATTTTTAAGGATTTTTAAGGCCTTAAATTTGGAAAAGCAAATTTAAGACTTTTTAAGACTCTTTAAGGACCTGCAGATACCCTGTACAAGGTTGTGGCTGATGAAGAATATTCAACTTTCTATGTCAGATTTTAAACTTTAAAGGGTCTAACTGAGTTTCTTCCTTGGTGACTTCAGAATGCAGCACCTGTCTTAGTTTTCGGGTTCTTAATATTTCATCCCCTTGAGGTCAGAAATGTGGAAAATTAAACTTTCTCCTGAAAAATAAAGAAATGATCAGGAGAAAGTAGCTTCAGACGACAGGACCTGGAGATTTATTTGCTGATATTTGGACACCTCGCTTCTGATTGGATAACAGCAACGTGGCTCTACCAATGACTCTGCTTGCTCTGCAAGGTGTGTGTTTCATCACCACAAATAACATAAGCCTGGTGGAGTTCTGCTGTGTGGTGGAGTTGCTAATGCTAACGGTTAGCTTCAACTAGCTGAGACGTTCTCTGCTGTTTCCTGGACGCTAAACCAACAACAGTCTTCCATATCGGGAGTTTAGATGGGTGAGTCCATGAATGTTAACTCATTCACTGCCAATGATGACTATTCTACTGTGTGGGCGTTGGAACAATCCCCCGCACCGTGTGAACAAACATCCCAGGTCTAAAGCCGATCTTGATCAGGAAGCAGAACATCCATGTGTTAGGAGATCGTTTTGGGCCGCTGCTGTAAAAAAAGGTGAGGCACGAACCGGAAAAACGTCTGCCGATCACAATTCAACAACGGATTATGAAAGAACGGATAACGCTCTAAACGCGTGGATTCTTCCTGATGTAAGAGGTGAGTCTCCTCTTTGTTTTGGTCGTTTTGGCGTCGACATCATCCAAGCGCGCAACGTTCTGTGACTCTTAAAATAACAGTAAAACTGCTGAAAAAGGCTGGCAGCGAATGCCTTTACTGATCAGGAAACAGCTGGCAGCAAATGAGTTAAGTGACAGTGTGATGTAGATCTGTCAGGATTTTTAAATCCTAGAGTTTCACTGTCTATTTTCTATCAGGAGCTAATGCAGGACTAAGGTGTAGGAGACAATTTTCATGTTCAGTCTGCACAAAAACTCAAAAGTAATAATTAAAAAATGGTTCCTCAGTGACGAGGTTCTTTAAAGGTAAATAACAAATCAGCAATGCCTCGGTTTTTATTATTTTATAATTTTATTATATTGCCTGCTGTGTAAAAACCACAGGGGTTCCCCCAGCCCGCCAGGCTAAGCGTCATGCCCCGCCCTGCCCCCTCCCCGACCCTACCGTGTCCGCTGACACGAACAGCGCAACGAAACTAGAGCCCTCCATCAGCTGATACCGGTGTGAAACAGCAGCGGAACGTGTGCAACCCCCACCCCCCACTCCCACGGAGGAGTGCTGCAGGACGGAGCGCGCGACCCCACCCCCCACCCCCCGACGGCCAGCTCATTTTCAAGGGGAAACCCTGAACCAGTAACCACTAAAATACTTTAAAGCTTCAGAACAAAAGCACGATGAAGCAAGGGGTCATAAGTTATCACTTCCTTCATGCTTCGCCTCATATTAGTCTCCCATTAGACGGCTCAGAGCAGGAGAACGTGTTCTTCTGGTTATTATGTGTCACAGAGCTGCTATTTTTTTCTACAAACACACTAAACACAAGTCAGTCAAGCAGTGAAGGAGTGATGGTTTTATGTGGGAGGGAAAAGGAGTCTGTGGCTGTTTCAGAGACACATATGGGAGAACAAGTGGATCCCAAAAGCTAGATGATGCTTGGGGGTGATGTTCACCTCGATGAGCATCTTGATGCGAGTTATTCGCTGGAAGGGAAGCAGCAGGAAGGAGATGAAGGGAAGCCGCTGGCACTGCGGTGACTCCTGGAGGTGACTGATCACCATGGCAAACTGAGGGTTAGTCTTCCTGCGGACGAGGCGCGACAATTAGTGATATTCCTGTAAGTCAGGAATTCCTCATGGAGCGCTGTCTCGATGTGACTCGACAGACGCGGTTCTCACTTGAGCGATGTGAAGGTCTTTTCCTGGTAGATCTGGTTCCGGACATAGTCGATGTAGGCTGGGAAGTTGTGCTGCGCGTGGTAGTGGATGATGTCACAAATGTCAGGGAACACTATGTCTTTGAATATGCGGTCCTCCAGGTCTTTTAAGAACCTGCGGCAGCGAGAAGGAAGAAACACTTCAGTTCCAATCAGATAATAACTTCAGAGGCTTTAACCCCTCTCAGGCTCAACATAAGTTTTGATAAAAGGATGAACGACTAAGTCCTTCAGGGGAACTTCTGAGTTAAAACATGCTCATGAAACACGTACGTGGAGCAACCAGGTAGGTAGGTTTGATCTGTTGCACATCTGCAACGCCCGCCTCCAGAGGGTTAACGCCTGAATCGCTTCCTCCATCGACCGCTGCTACTCACCTCTCGCTGACCTCGCGGATCTTCAGCGAGTTGGAGAAGAGGGTCTTCCTGTCTCGGATGATCATGGTCTCTTTCAGCTCCCGGTTGTCCAGGAAGTGTTCTGTCAGAATGCGGAGAGATCGCAGGTAGGAGGCCTCAGAGGTCAGAACCTCGAACATGCTCTGAAAGGCGGAGGACAGGAAGTATTAAACTGTGTTTTAGGAATCGTACGATAAAGCAGAAAGGCATCTGGATCTCCTAATATCCTCTCAGCATTATTCATTTCTTTTTTCTTCATGGAACAACAACCCTCTCCCCCCCTCACCTCCTGGTACTTGAGCTGTTTAGTGGTGAGCTGCTTCAGCACACCGCTCTCCTGTACTTTAGGGAGGTCCTGCCACAGTGTGCTACCCCTGCTTTCTCCGTTCAGAGGAGACGCCTCAGATCCTTTCCGTTGGGCCGTCCACTCAGCGGGAAAGTCGTCACTTGTCCTGCTGCTGTTGCGGCTGATCTTCTGCCGACTGATCTCCTTTGAGATGATGGTTTTGCGATACACCTGATACAGAGGCTCTGGATATAGGCAACAGACAGTCAGGGCAGCACTAACAAAATCGCTTCGTTACAGAGATATTTTGGCCCTTTATAGATGTTTCTGAGTAAATAATTACAGTAGACAGCTTCCTGAATAGCCTCTGTTCAAAGAAAGAGGGTGATGGGGGTTTGAACCTCTGCATGAGTCAGTGGGTGCTCTGAGCAGCTCCTTCTGATAGAGACTGCACATCTGTGCATGTGCCTACAAGTACATGCCTGTAATTACTGATATCTTCTACTAGGACTGTAAATAGTTGTAGCAGAACTCCTGACTTAACCTCTATCCAGAATGCTTACTAGGGTTGTCACCATACTAAAATTTCAAACTCGATTTCGATACTTTTTAAAAACACCAATTTACTGAACAAGTTTATTGAAAAAATAACATTCCTCAATTTATATTGCAAAAATTAAATGTTAAGAATTAAGTGTATTAAGTGCTTAAACCTTTCAAGTATCAGCATTTTTTAAAACGTGCATACAAAAACTGGTGAAAGTTAACACTTTAAATCATGAATTGTCTCACTATATATACACTATTTGCAGAGTGATGTTTTGCTGCTTAAACTCTGTTTAAGGTGCATTTTTGTCATAAGAAGTAATGCCATATGTTTTGTTCTGTACTTTTGAACAACTCTGTTGGTCAATAAAGGGAGAAAACAAATTTCTCCCCAGTAGGACAAAGGTACATCTACCGGTAATCTTAATAAAAACAGATTGGTGCACGGCAGTGACGTCATTAAAAGCGCCGGTTAGATTAGCCGCGGCTAGTCTGTTCACGCCTAGAAATCCCAGACCAGACCCGCTCCAAACGAACAGGGGAATCACGTTAATGATTCCTAACAAAACCTTTCGACATTGAGATGTTTTAGTGCAGATAATGTCTTATTTTGAGGCTGCACCATGGGTGCCCGTCTGCACCCGTTATATGGATATACGCTGACGGCGATTCGCCAATGGATCTACGGTAAATACCCCGGGGAATCCAAGTAGCACCAAAGTTGTCAGCGTGAGTAAACAAACGTACTGCATGCTTGAAATTAAGTCCGGGTTGCAATAAACGGGAGTTTTCCTTTAAGCACATAAGCGTGAATATACAACTACGTGTCGGACTTGGTATGCTAATTAAGTTGGGCTGTGAAGCGCCTCCCAAATTCGCTGTTTATGTTTTTGTTTATTTATTTGACAGACAAAACTTGGATTGGAGACAACTCGCGTGGGAAATTGCAATGTAGCCATGCGGCGTCTTCTTCTGTTTGTCTGGGAGGCGGAGGCTGCTTTACGGCATCTGGCTGTCGTGCGTGTCGGTGTACTTGAAGAAGGCTGTGTATAATAGTCCATAATATCGATATCACAGGGATGGAATATCTAATTTAGATACCACTTTTAGTATCGATTTATATCTAGGTATCGATTTTTTGACAACACTAACGCTTACTGCGTACTACTGTTGAATAGTGTCTTGTCTTACTTTATTTAGTTAGTTTTTTTGTATTCTTGGTCACTCTTGTACTCTTGCTATCTGTCCTGAGCTGTAGTAAAACACACACTTCCCTGCTGTGGGATCAATAAAGTTTTATCTTATCTAACATCCTGCAGGTCAGCTAGTCTAAACACCGTCAAGAACAAAGTGTCTAGCTAATGTTTAAAGAGCTCAAATCTCCTCAACTTTGCAGGACTTTGTTTCTTATTGCTCCCATATCCTGCGGGACTCATGTTTATGTTTATTTATTTGGCAGACGCTTTTATCCAAAGCGATTTACAATTTATAACCTATAGGGCATGTTGTGATCTGCGGGGGAAACCGGAGTACCCGGAGGAAACCAACGCATGCATGGGGAGAACATGCAACTCCACGCAGAAAGGTCGCAGCCGAGTTTCGAACCTGCAACCTTTGTGCTGCGAGGCAACAGTGCTAGCCACTGCGCCACCGTGCAGCCTTGACTCCTGAGTGAACAGGAAGTGCTACATTTATCAGTGAGCTTCATGTCTAGCCTAGAATCTAGACCATCGGCTTGTTTGCGTCTTCTTTGACGATGTATGGCGGACTCACTGACGTATGTAGTGGTCCAATCACAGCGCTCTATTGGTGGGCAGGATGTTACTACGAATGAGCGACAAAAACAAACAAAGATGGTGACGGCTTGTTTGAAACAGCTTTGGCATCAACTTTGGACTATTCTGACTTGGGCTTTTCTTTGTGTCAAGAGCAGATAGAGGTACTTAAGTACTTTACTTAGAAAAAAGATGTATTTGTGTCTTCTTCAACAGAGTATGGCGGACTCCCCATTGAGTGACATCTGTAGCGTGAGTACGTCACGTTGTACATCGTCCAAAAGAATGCATAGACAGTACAACCGTAAATCCTGCCCCACGACTGAGAGCCATCAACGGACCGTGTCCAGACTACATGCTCACATATAGGGTGGCTTACCAGGCCATGTCAGCAACATACCGCACCGCTACACACGTGAGAACGGGAAACAGGACGTACGACGTATCGGCCAATGGTGGACAATTTTGGAAGGTTTTCAAGGGTTTTTTATGCTGGACTGTGAACAGAAGACTTGTAGACAATCCATTTTATTGCAGGGCATTTATTGGACCCTTGTGGAGATAAAAAAAACAGTTTGTTTGAGATGTCTCCATTCTGGCAATGATATGATGCTTTGAACCGTGAGTTAAGAGATTATTTTTGCCTTTGCAGATGGTTTGATTCAAGTGTTACTGCACCTACAGATGTGGTTTGTATTGTGTTGCAATAACAGATGCTAATTTGACCCACTAGAAACGACGATAAAGTCCCATTTGTCACCATCATCATCAGATGACAATTATGACCACTGCCTTACAACAGTGATACAAATGTCTATCTAGCTTAATCCGTTAATTAACGTGAGGTAGGAAACAAACGTGTCATGAACTCCTGATCCGTTGGCTGTTCTACTTTTTATGATGCATGTTTAGCAGCCTTGGCATCTCTACACGGGTCTTTCACCGGAGCAGAACCAAAACAAAGAAGAAAAACTGAAATGTAAGTGAGACGTTTGTGTGAACACATCTCACCGTTCATCAGGTGGGCTTCCCATTTGAATGAAAGCTTCCTGCGGATTGGAGACCTAAAACAGGAAGTGTGGTTGGATCAGCCACAACAAAGCTCCTGAAATCTGCTTCAACATAAATCAGCTTTGATTTAAACCACGTCTGCATGGATGTTCCATTATTCAGGAAAACCTATTAGAAGACTCACGGTTCTCTGGAGTCGTTCCCTCCTTCAGCTGCGTTCTCCCCTACTAAAAGGAAACGCGCAAGCAGGTGACGCAGGATAAAAAGCACGATTTATTAAAGATGCAGATTGAATACAAACCTGTTTGGAGGGAAGCCAAGGCAATGTCACTGGGCCTCCTGGTATCTCTCGCTCCTTCACCCTTTCCATTCTCCCCTAATACAAAGAAACAGGTGATGAAGATGAGTGTTTTCATGGAAGAAGCGAACACGGAGAAGGCTTCTGATGGTTGTTAAACACAAACCTGTTTTGAGGAAATCCGTGGCAATGTCACTAGGCCTCCTGGGATCTTTCTTTGGTGGAGGCGGTGGGGGTCTGGATGGGGGTGGAGTGCTGGGTAATTTGGGGATCTTTGGAAGAAGTTTAGGTGGGACCGGGTCAACGGAGTCGTCAAACATTGGTTTGTGTTCTACGGTAGACAGTCTGGATTCTAAGGTGTTGCTGCGAGGTTTCAGCTGGCAAGGGTGTTTCTGGGCTCTGTTTTTAGGAAACTTCAGCACGTCTTTAATCACAAGTGTGGACTTTTGGGGAGCCGGAGCAGCCGTTGGTAGATATACCTCATAAATGTTCTCCTCTTCCTCTTGTGAGGATGTCTCCTGGACGGGTGGTGAAGGAGCGGGTTTGGGAGGAACAGCAGGAGACTTGGGGGTGTTCTTGGCAGCAGGAGGACCCTGGTCTGAGTTCCTGTGCTGCTCAGCGAGCACACCTTCCAAATTCTGCAGGAAATCATGTTTGGCCTGGTTCACTATGGTCTTCTTTTCAACAGCAGACTTGTCCACCTCCTCTTCCTCCTTCTCCTCCTCTTCTTCGCAGGCTTCTTCTACTTTTGGTGTCTGTTTTTTCACATTATTCCACTCCTCTACTGTCTCTGGCTCCACATGGACCCATATGAGCATCATCCCGGGCCTCTGCAGGTGACACACGCAGCTGCAGCTCTGGTTGGAACAGAAAAGTACTTCTAGGCCGTGCTCCACCTCCGTCTCATCGTCTCCGTTCACCTGAGCTTCCACCTCCTTTCCGTCAGGTGCTGCATTAAACACAACAGATAAAGATCTTTGTAGAAGAGGAATCATTTAGTTTTCATCCTAAACAGGAAGCTTTTTTTTAGCCTGTTTCCAAAACAGCTCCTGAGTCTGACGTATGTGAAGCTCCTCCCACTGAAAGGAATCCTTATCAGATGCTCATACTGCCTGGACCAGTTCCATCTGACACAGAAGAGCAGTGACTCTACTCTGAGATTAACCCCCCTCTTTATGATCTCATCATGTAGCTGATAAGCTGATCAGCTGTGAGCAGCGACTGCTGGTATGTCGACCCACAGCTTTGGTGTTTGGCTCATCAGGACTAACAGGAAACACACACAGCTTTCAGACTCCTGATTGGATTGTTGTTTTTATAACAAAGCAAGACCAGACTAAACTGCTGACTCATCCATTAGATCTGTGTGTATCTCAACTAGGGCTGAACGATTTTGGAAAATAATCTAATTGCTATTTTTTTTTCTTAAATATTGCGATTTAAATCACAATTATTTTCTCAAGGGGCTTTTCTCATTTTTCAGCTAACGGAAGCAAAAAAAAGATCTATGTAACTTGTACTGAATATAAACAAGTTTATTTGTCTACACATACATGAACACTCACAAGTAAAGACAACATCTTGTATTTGAAGGTGCAATGCTTTGCAGCCAGGAGCACATCCCTTGAAGGAGCATAGTTATTAGCATCAACTGTGAAAATTGATTTGCAGGAAAGAAGTGTGTCCCGTTTATTGAAGTCTAGAGTTTTTGACGTCTTGTCCATGCAGAGCTTCCGTAGTTCAGTTACGTTCACAGCTGCTAGCCAAAACTCAGTGGAGTTGAAGTATAGTTTTCTAGCTTTACTAAAGTATCTGTGTGTACTTATTTGATTAATGGCAGTTTTTACTTTTTATTTGACTCCAAATGTAATAATTTGGCACGTTCCTAATTCGTAATTTGTAAGAATCTATTCGGCAATATTAGCATTAGCATCCCTATGTTAGCATCCCTATGGGTTTTTCATAGTGATGTGTCGGTCGCGAACGAACCGGCTCTAAGAGCTGGCTCTTTGAAGTGAACGACAGGAGCCGGCTCGTCATTGGGAGCCGTCCCCTCCCCTCCCCCCTCCCCCCTTGCCTTGGTGAAAGCTGCAGGCGATAGGTCAACATGCGTAAATGCGTGTCCAGACTGTCCACACACAGAGCAGTAGGGGCGGGGAAGAGGGAGGATCAGACGCAGACACACAGCAGAGCACATGCGGGTGGAGGGAGACGAGAGCGAATGAGGAGGAGGAAAAAGGCGAGCAAGAGAGGAGAGTGCGACGAAGAAGGTGAGAAAATGAGCGCCAGCAGTCGGAAAGTGGAGATTTCTTACAGTGTTCAGTTATTAAATCCATATAAATGATAAATATTTAATATATTGCATTTTTTTACATTAGTAAATTATTTTACATATAGTTTAGCATTATTTTGGTTATAAATGTACTCTATGCAACAGAAAATCGGAGGAGTCACTTGGGAGCCAAAAGAGCTGTCTCTTTTTGGTGAGCTGAGCCAAAAGAACTGGTTCTCTAAAAAGAGCCAGAATTCCCATCACTAGTTTTTCAAAGTATATTAGCATTGTGCTAACCACTCGCTGCCAGTCAAATCTCAGCCTTTGCGATTAGAAAATCTCCTTTTGTCACATCGCAGTTTAATTGCATATGCAATTAATGGTTCAGTCCTAATCTCAACAGTGCCAACAGTAATACTGGACCATTAATTTGGGCTATCTTTGCTCTGGAAGGTGTAAAAGAGCACAACACAAGTCCTGTAAGTTTTTATTTTTACCCACCAGCTCAGATCTATATGGTAAAACCACTTCAGTAACTGGGATAGTTTCCTTTCAGTGGCACATTTTAGAGTAAAAAAAAAGCATTATGAGTACTTCCAATCTAACCAAAACATTTCTATAATTAGACTAAAAACTCATAAATATATTCAAACCTTTAAATCATAATTATTTTAAATAAATCACTATTAGCGCATCTTTTCATACAAATATAAAGTTAAAGTAACAACAGATGATTTTTAACCTTTAAGCTAGAGTTTTAACATTGATCTTAGTGATTGTTGAGTTAGAAACTAGACCAGTTTCATATCCGACACCACTCAGCAGCCCTCTGCTGACCACAAACCACACTTATGTTTATGTTTATGTATTTAGCAGACGCTTTTGTCCAAAACAACTTACAAGTGATAATCGGCATGTTGCCCTTGAGGCTAACAACAACAATAACAACAACAACTTGACATCAATCATGGAGAGGAGGGAACAAGGAGTGGACAGTAGAGAGGGGGGACGGGTGCAGGAAGGTGCTAGTTAAGAAGATGCTCTCTGAAGAGCAGGGTCTTCAGGAGTTTCTTGAAAATTGAAAAGGAAGCTGCAGTTCTGGTAGTGCTTGGTAGGTCATTCCACATTTGTGGAACGATGCATGAGAAGAGTCTGGATTGTCCTGAGCGTGGTGTAGGCACTGCTAGCCGACGATCCTGTGATGACCGGAGCGGCCGGGCCGAGACGTAAGCCTTTGCAAGAGGATTCAGGTAGATGGGAGCAGTACCATCTTGGACTTTGTATGCTAGTGTTAGCAATTTGAATTTGATGCATGCTGCTAGCGCTAGCCAGTGGAGCTCAATAAACAAAGGTGTGACGTGTGCTCTTTTTGGCTGATTGAAGACCAGACGCGCCGCTGCGTTCTGGACCATTTGAAGAGGTCTCACAGTACAGCCTGGAAGAACAGCATTGCAGTAATCGAGGCGGGAGATGACAGTAGATTGCACCACTTAATAGTTTCTTGGAGTGGGTAGGTGGCCTAAAGGGGAGCTCTTTACGGCTGTTAGCTGTAATGCTAGCAGTTAGCATTTTCAGTTTTCGGATGGTCAATAAAAAGCACAAGAAGAAAAAGAAGTTTGCTTATTGTTGGCGTCATGGAGCCTGGAAGTAAAAGTAGGAGTAGGGCTGTAGCGAAGCCTCGATGACGTCGACGGCTCGATTCTAAAACTTTGTCGACGTCAGATCCGGTAGTCGACGCACCACGCCCACTTGTTGCATCCCCAGGAGTTTGTAAATAGAGGTGGAATCTGCCTGTTTTTCCTCTAGTTCTCCCTCTTCTCCGCCTTCACTAACATCTCCACCAAATACTGAAGACCCGGAACAACGTCCGTCCGCTACTAGATTCCTTTCCTGTTTTGCCCACCTTAGTCTCCCGGCAACGGACAACAACTTCTGGGGTCAGATGCGCTGCTCCGTCTCTATCGCAGATGTAGAAAATCACCGGGAGCGTTTCTCCCTTCATAAAGGAGCTTCTTTCAGACATTAGGAGAGCTGTTTTGGTGGTAGCAGTCTCTCCTCCATGCTGGTCTGTTTGCTGCTGGGTGTATTTAGTTTATTTAAACTTGGTAACTTGAACTTAACGTTGGTAAAGCTACTGTTAGCATTTTTGCTAACAGCTTCTTGCGTTTGGATAAGCTGTTACGTTTTGGTTTAGAGTTCATCTTTTTGTGGTGTAGATCTCCCTTTTATTACATTTAGAGCAGGGGTATACAAATACTATTTAAAAAGGTCCAGTCAGAAAGAATTTTTTTAGCCCAAGGTCCGAAAGATCATTATGTCCGACCTACAATAGTGTGACATGTATTTAAGTATCCTAGCAGTTTTATCAACATCTGCATTATTAATTTGCATATCAAATCAGAAATACTTCAGTGTAATTCAAATACTTATGACATTTATTGTCACTTAAAGTGTTGAACATGTAAATTATTTATTTGGAACGTTCTCTCATTTACTAAATAAAAGTAGAAAAAAGTGTCAACAAGAAAATAACACATGGCAACTGAATCTTCACAAACTACTAACTTCAGAATAAATGTAGAAAAAGCTTAATTTTTTACATTTTTCCTCTTCACGTGCGAACTAAAAAGTCTTAAAATGATTTTAAAAAATGTGACTCTGCACACATGTAATAACTGAACATATATTTAGGTTAATGTTTTCCACATTTTTACTTAGTGAGAGAAGTGAGCTCTTGCTTGTCCTGCCAACATTTTGAATCTGGGCTTGAATGGAGACAGAGCCATCCTCATGCATGTGTGGAGATGCTCATTGGTGAGCCTGGAACGATATTTGTTTTTTATAATGTTCATTGTGGAGAACGCTGCCTCACAGTTGTGGGTGGAACCAAACATGGTCAGGATGTACAGGGCTACTTTCTTTAGACTTGAGAAAGCTGTCTCAGGAACCATTTGGAGCCAGAATGAGGAAGGGTCAGTCCTGGCAGACAGTTCATTCATGGCCAAGTTTGCTTGGAGGTCAACTAACTCCATCTGAAGATCCCTGGCATTGACCCATTTAAAATGCTGTGTGGCTTCCTTTGAGAAGCTCCTGACATCTGTGATGAGGAATGGGTTCTGAATGAACATGGTGAGCTGCTGGCCAATGCTGAAGCTATCAAAACGATTGCTGAAGTTAGCAATAAGCTTATCAATGAAGACAACAAACGACGAGACATCTCGCTGTCCCTGAACCTGTTCCTGCACTGCTGGGAAGTGGACACAGTCTTCCTGCAAGTCCTCCTTGAACATTTCAAGTTTTCTCTGAAAGGCACGGACAGCTGTCATTAGTTCACAAATGGAATTGTCCTTGCCCTGTAGCCTCAAGTTCAGTTCGTTTAGATGTGAAGTTATATCAACCAAAAAGGCAACATTGTCCATCTGCTTCTCATTTTCTAGAAATGTAGAAAACTGTGTTGCCTTATGATGTTTTAGCTCTGCCAAAAAAGATGCTACTTCCCTCCTAATGGCCCAAAAGCGTGCTAAAACTCTGCCTTTGCTGAGCCATCTCACATTGTTGGGCAGCAGAAGATCATCAGCATTGGCATCAACTTCTTTGAGGAATTCTCTAAGCATGCGATGCTGGTAGGAAGAGGACGCTCTAAGAAAGTTGATCATTTTCATCACTGAAGTCATCAC